TTTTGAAGTCCTATAATGTCTCCAATGTTTTGTTTTTATTGATTTTGTTCTGTACTGCTATGTTCGATTTTATTATGCCTGATGAGGGTAATTATATTGACAATAACATGAGACATTATGGTAACCACTGCTGATCACCTTGTATTTTGGTTTTAAGTCATGTACTGTGCCCATCCTTTTGTTTTGACTGACCCCATTTTGTTTTCTCTCATTTGGTTTTATTCTCTTAAAAAAAAAAAGAAAAAAGAAGAACATATCGGATTACTTTTCTTCTTCCCTCCTTCCTTCCTGCCATCCTTTCTCCCTGCCTTAACTTCTTTTCTCTCCTTCTCTCATTCCTTCCCTCCTCTTTTCTCCCCTGGCTTTTCTTCATTCCTTTTTTTCAATATTGAAAATCAAAGCCAGACCTAGCACATGCCAGGCAAATGCTCTACCGGGGGCTATGTGTCTTGCCCCTCATTTTACACACACACACACACACACACTTTTTATTACTACATTATATATTTTAATATACATTTCATTAGTTTATCCTTCAGACAGGTGTGTACATACGTCATTATATTATGCAGTAAATCAGCTAACACTAGTCTAATCAGTTGCTGACAGGTTTTTTTTTTTGTCTTTTTCATTTTTATCGGTACCGGGGATCGAACTCACGATCGCCTGCTTGCAAGGCAGGTGCTTATGCCGCTGAGCTAAATCCCCAGTCCCCAGTAGCTGACAGTTTTGGAGGAACCAAGTAGGTAGTGATTCTCCATTATCCTTGCCTAGGTTCAGAACTGAGAGACAGAGGCATTGGGGAGACAGGGAACAAAATGTCAGTTTTATCCTTGAAGAAGCTATGGGAGGATCTGGCTTAAGGAAGTGTGTGGCAGTCATGGAGTCAACTCTGAAATTCAGAAACACACATGCTCACTGAGCCAGGCACAGGCACCTAGGACTCTTTTTGTGGGGTCCCTTTATGCAAAGGCTCCTGCTGTCGGCAGCTCAATGGAGTGTTTCTTGGACATCTGACCCCAAATAGTAGAGGAGAAGCTGAGCTTTGCATATCTGGCTCCTAATCCCCTACATGTCAATCATCTAGACAACTGCTTCTCTTTCTTAGGGCTACAGAGGGCTGGAGAGCTCCTCTAATGAAGCCCCATTCACAGGGAAGGCAACACCATGTATGAGTTGCAAGTTTCTCACTTAAAAATGCTGTCTACAGTGTTTACTGACATGTATTTTGTGTACATATGGTATTTATGTAAATATATATACAGTATACAGACACACACTAAAAGTCTTTATTGATGAGTACACAATGCAAACTGAGGACTATTGTTTTTACTGAAGACATGTATGGTCAAGTTTCATGTAAGTTGAAAAGAAATCAGAAGATGTAACTGTAGAGCCTGGGCTTCTTTTTGTTTTTCTTTTCCAGTGCTAGAATTTGAACCCAGGGCCTCAGATACAGTAGCAAGTGCTCTACCTTTGATTTATATCCTCAGCCCTTTTATTTTGAGACTGTCTTTCTAAATTGTCCAGGGTGGCTTTGTGATGCTCCTACCTCAGCCTCTGTTGTAGACATAATTACACATACTCCTTCAAGATCTTAGCAGGAGTTGAACCCGGACTTAATATATTAACTTGAGTATGTAGGCTTTGGACACTGCCTTTGATTTATACATCTCTAAAGAAACTTGTGTAGGAGGTAGAAAAATTCTATTTCTGGTGGGTTTTTTCCTAAGTTTCCTATATGTGGCAATCTCACTTGGGAAAATTCATTCAAACTGCTCCAAGTTAGACCACAGCAAATGGGAAACTTTGAGCAAGTATTTTGCACTCAGGATGCTGCTGTAAGCAATAAAGACCAAATTGCAGTAAGGGGTGGTTACAATCACAGCCAGGGGGAAGGAGCAGGCTAGGGTTCTGTAGGGGTTGTGTTTCAGACAGAATTCAAGGTAGATCTGAGATTTAAAATTTGATGTTTTCCAGAGATTATGACATAAAATGTTGTTCCTCCTAGATGCTCTGTGCCTTTATGGTCAAGTACATTTGAGAAACCCAAATAAACAAACCTCTTCTCATGTAAATAATAAATTATAGTGTTTATACATTCAATTGCAACAGAATCTGACTATATTTATATGAGGAATCTTGCAATATGGGGACTGTTTAATCTTAATGGCATTTCTCATCTAATGTGTCATAGAACACTTATTTCAGAATACTGACAGACATTTGTTATGTAAACCACTAGAAAACGCTGAGTGGGATGATTATGGATTTGGTAACTGTTATGGTAATGGACTTTGGCTTTTTTGCCACCCAAGTTTATCCTCTTAATTTTCTTAATCTCTCAAATTACTAAAATGGGTATAATACTTTTTGCCTGAAAGAACTGTTGTAAAGATTAAAAGAGAGGAAACATCTATAAGGCACCCAATCAATAACTTATATTCAACAAAAGGTAGGTCTTTTTTCTTAATTACAGTTAGGTTTTAGAATGAGTATTGTTTGAATAAGATTTAAAAAAATTTTTTCAGAAGATTTTTAATCTTTTAGAGTGACGTATTCTCTCTAGAACTCAGGGTCCCAAGAGAAATACCTGAATCCCTTTCACTAATTGAATGCCTACTACTTGAATCTCTTCAGAGGGTAGTGCCCCCAATAACCTAAGGACCTTTCCTTAGGCCCCGCCTCTTTTTTTTTAAGTACTGGGAATCAAACTCAGGACCTTGCACTTGCTAAGCAGGTGCTGTGCCCGAGCTATACCCCTGGCCTAGGCTTTGCCTCTTACAGGCCCCACTTCTTGTTTAGTATTAGCAGGTTAGGAATTAAACCCCTAGCACATGAGTCTTTGGGGAAATGCAGACATCTATCTCACAGGGCATTTAAAAGGTAAAATCAAACAATATATGCTAAGTGCATCACAGGGCTAGGACAGAATAAATGCTTAAACAAATAAAGACAGTGCAATAACAATCCAGAGAGCCACTTTTGTACACTTAAGACTATACCGGGTAGGTCTGGTTGAATCTGGCCTTGAGTCCAAATGCAGCACGCAGATGTCCTCTGAATGTGCCCTGTATGGATGCCCACTCCTGCAGGTACTTTCATGAGGCAAAGCCTGGGATCCACATTTTCATAAGCTCCTTGGAAAATCATGGTCACTATCACCGACCAGGAAGATGCGCTACAAGATATGAAGGAATCACACGGAACCAAATGACAGCAGAGAAGGAATGGACTTTACATTTCCTGGGCTCAGAGAAGAGCGGCCTCATGATATGAATGCTGGGCTTAGAAACTCATCATGATGCCTTAGCAAGGGGAGAGATGGTGGGGGTATATGATGGAGAGACAGCGGGTCTTTAGATGTGGCTTTCCGGGAAATGGTGAGTGTGCCAGTACCAGGTGACACCTAAAGAAAGGTTTGGGGTCCAGCATGTAGCCTCAAGAGACGAGGTTGGGAAGTTTGGCTCCTGCCTTCAGTTCAGTTGATATCTAACCCCATCAGGTTAGGAGGCCCTCCACACCCACCCCAGGGGCCCCATTCCATTGCCAGTCTTATTCTTACACTTGAGGACTACGAGGACCTGAACCACATGATGATTTCTTCCTCCTTATAAGAGGTTAATTACATTAGTTACCATTATCCTTAAATAAATCAGACACATTGTGTAAATATCACATTGGCTCTCTGGGGTGAGAAACTGAAACTGCAAATAAGAACCAAAATGTTTAACAGATACTGTTTAACATTAGACAAGTGGAAATAATTGTTCAAAAGGAAAGGGGAAGGGGCGGGGGGATGGAAGGGAAAAGAAAAAAATGAGAAAAAAGGATAACACGGAAACAAAGCTTTGTAAACAAAGAGAAGCAGGGCTGTCGAGAAGGGAGGGCGATGGGGGGAAAATGAGGAACTAAGACACAAATTCCCGGTGAAGAGTTGCAATCATTATGTGTATCTGAATTGTACCAATAAACTTAATTAAAAAAAAAAAAAAAAACAAAGACTGTAGGCAAGGGCATTAACATGTCTTCCCGGAAAGAAATATTGTATGTAAAGCTCCCTTTAAAGCTCCTGTTTAAGGCTTCTGCTATTTTCTTTTCTCCCTCGGATGGGGTGGCATCATTTTGTTTAAACATTCACCTGGAGCCAGGAAGCTCCCTGTGAGGGTTAATTTTGCCTTTGAGAAAGTAATAAGCATCAGGCTAAGCCCTCCTTTCGACTGACTCTGAAATGTCTTCCACAACCTCTGCTGTTATCGGCTGGGTCACCAGCGCAGAGGGCCTCACAGGTGGGACTCTGAGACGCGCTGGGCCCGTAAGAGCTCTTACTGCATCAGCACACAGACCAGGTTAGATCTGATGGGCTCTCTGGGGATGTTGGAAGTTTAGGTGGGAGCTAGTTGCAGCATGCCACTGGGGACTGTATCTTGGCCTTGACTCTTGCCTCTTCCTGCGTTGTGGTCACTATGAAGTGAGCCACTTTCCTTTACCACACCCTCCATGTTTCTGCCTCACCACGGGCTTAAAAGCTACACAGCCAGACCCTGAACTGAAACCTCTGAAACCATCGGCCAAATCTCTCCTCATTTTACATTGTTTCTGTCAGGTATTTTGTTATGGGACAGAAAGCTAACACAGCCTTCTATATCCCAGGAGCAGATGGCTTGGGCAGTCCCACCTCCTCTCCGAAACACATTCCTGCTCATCAGCAGGCAACGCTGTGCAGACTTTCAAGATTCTTTGAATATGTGAAGTTCCTCCCGTCTTAGGCTCAGGGCTGAAACTATGTGGGAGATAACCAGCAAATAAAAGAAAGCTTTCTGGACCGAGTAGTTCAAAGAATGAAGGTATCCTAGGGCCCAGAGAGGAGTAAGTCTATTCTTGGGCAACACCCAGACATAGCTTACATGGCTTTCTTTTCTTTAATCCTGAAACCCCATCAAGATGCCCTGGCATGAAGCTATGCATCCGTTCTTCAAATAAAATCCACAGACACTCCATTTTCACAATGAAGCTTGAAACCAGTCAAGCACATTTTTATTAAAAAAAAGAAAGTCTAATGATAAAGTACATATTTTCTACATGCTAGTTAGTTGTTCACCACCACCCCTCACATTTATACTCATGTTTTGTGTTAAAAGGAATCAAAAGACATCAGAATCTGTCATTTTTCCAAGAGGATGTGAAAAGTGCTGATATATCCAGGGATTCCCCAGCGTGACCCCATAAGCAGACGCAAGCTGGTAGAACTCCTGTCCAGAGCTCACACTGTTCCTGAAGGGATGGAAGAAATGGTCAAGTTATTTGACAGCTCCTTGAAGCAGAACATGTGGCCTGCAGCTAAGGTGTTAGGTTATCACACAGTACCACTCATCCAAGTGGAAAGAGCTGCTGCGAATAATTACAGAGTACAAAGCCATAGACGGGGGTGCATGGGAGTAAATTCTGGACACCTTTGTTGCATTAAAATTGCTTATTGCTGTAGTAAGCCTGCTGGGAGCACCTTCTATTTCAATGTCCTGGAGATGTGAAAGTGAAGGCCACTGGCTATGGCACTGTCTGGTCTTTTCAAGGACAAAAGAGGTGAAGCTCCTTATCTCTGGAGCTCAAAAGTTTCCTTTGGAGTAGAGAAAGACAGGGAGAGGAAGACAGAATGCTGAAATGTGATGAGGGACAGGATCTCTCAGCAAGATAGCACCAGACCAGACATCACCCCATCAAGCTGGACATCAGTCTGTGGAAAAGATGTTCAGAAGGTGGCCCTACAGGTGAGGAGCAGGGAAGTCCTCTCCTTCCTCCATTAACTCTGGAGCTCTGCTTGGGACCTTCACTGGGGGTCTCCAGCTCCTTACCCAAGTGAGGAGCAATTCCTCAACACAGTCCAAGGCAGGCACAGGCCTCAATGCTAGCCCGTTTTCTAATCAATGAGACCACAGAGTCCTCTGACATCAGGTAATCTTTGGTGTGTGTATGGTATGGCTGTCCACAGTACACAGGTACTGAAGGATGGGTTGGACAACTAGCAAGGGACCAACACTGCCACAAGGAGTTTAGGTTGGTAGGTGTCCACTGCCACAATCCAAAGAGGAGGGCAAGGCCGCCCAGAGGCAGCCTACCACGACCTTAAGAGACTTTTCACAATCAAAGGATGGAGAAGCAAGCCATGAGTGTTTGTTCAGTGCTGGGGATCCAACTTAGGGCCCCAGCTAGGCAAACTCTGCCACTGAGCGACACTCTCAGCCTGCTCCTGGTGATGCCAAGTTGCCAGCTATTTGAAGGGAGGGGTGATTTCTGCTTTGTCCCGTAGTACTAGGTACTCAGTCATAAACACTAGACTATCCATTTGTCTAAGGATCTTCCTGGGGAGATTTGGCACCTGCCCTTTAATGTGGCACGTGTGCCTTCCCACTTTCCACCTGATACTGAAATTCCAAGTGGACTCGGAAAATTGTTTAAGGCCAAGAACTTTGGCCCAGAAATCAATTCAATGGAACAGCCTTGTAGCAGTGGCTTAAAATGACTACTGAAAGCCACCAAATGGCCTCTACAATCTCCTGGGAGAGTAGGGACATTAGAAGTGGTTTAATCTGGAGCTTATCAGCTCTCCCCAAGTCTCATTTTGAGACAATGACATACACCTACCAATGGAACGGAATGGTTCCAGGAAGACATGTGCGTAAAGGCCTGTTTTATGAAGTGCTGGTCCTGACACTCAGGCATCCTATGTATCTGGTGGCTCTGCAACATGCTGCACATTTGAAACCTGCAGATGTAAAATAAAGCAGTCATCACCAGGCACTGAACGGGGGTGAGCACAGAAAAAGCCACCTCCACCTCTGCCCACACTTTGGGCTGCCATTTGGCCTGGGACTACTTAAATGTCTGACCAAGGGGCAGAGGGTGACACCTAAATTCACTTCATTCCCTGCAAACCTTGTGCACATTTCACTGCTGATGGTGGCAGAATGTAATGGACACAAGGGAGAATTTGAGTCCTACTGGGGCCACTATCTGGATAAAGATGGGCATGTGATTTTGTTCATTACATCTCAATTTCTAACTACACATCCGATTCAATACTATCACCCATAAGGTTGTCATGGGATTAAAGAGGGAGCATGTTTAAGTGTCAGTGACCTGCCTGGTGCTTGGAATGCATGTTGCAATGATGGCTCAGGACCTTTCACGACCTGGAATCCAGGGAGGTTTTGCTTATGCTCCATCAATTGCTCCTAGTCTAGTAGCCATGGTTGTGTGTGTTGTAAACTTAAGTTTCTAGGCAACGACAGCTGGGAGTGGCTTGGGCCAACAAGACCTAGCACTTTCAGTAGCCTCCGGGAGTGTCCACCACTGTGGCAGACAGTCCTAAGGTCATCCAAGCGACCACAGGAGGAAACAGTGAACAGTAGGAGTGTCGCTTCTGTATCTATAGTTCACATTAGCATACTAATAATGGTAATGGAAAAATCAAGTTCTTTTTCCATTTGCAGTGAAATGTCTGACCACAGGAAATCAGAGCAGGTCCATTCCCACCTGGCTGACCTGGCAGAAGGCGATGAGGTGAAAGATGCACCTTCAGCAGTGTTGGCAGATACAAATCACAGCTCGTGACACCAGGATGGAGTCATCACACTGGTCTACCCAGTGCCATCTCATAGTAGGTGTGCACACAATACTTTAAAAAGTCACTGAAAACCAAAATCAAATGGTATACACATAAAACCCAAGTAGTTTTGTCCCTTGAAAATTAATCAAATCCTGCAAAACAGCTTCACAAAGGATGTTTAAGACAAAGTGGGTCAAAAATGGATGAATACTTTCTTCCACGTAGGGGGCCTTGAAGAAGTGTGTCTCCTTCTCCCAGCCCCCCTCTCCACATGCCACCTTTCTCCAAGGTCCTGTGCATGGGACAAGGGGCAAGGTACCTTGCAAGAAGCACCTCAGGCTTGTCCCAAACTCTCTGGGGTGTAGACCTTACAGGTTGAGCAAAGAAGGAAGGTACTAATGATGCTACAGTGGACCAGAGGAACCTCCTTCTGTGGAAGCAGCCAGAGCCTGTGTGTATCATGTAGGGACTGGGAGCAGGCTATGCACAAGAGGACTTTTTGCCCAGTCTTTGGCACTGCAGGTAGATGCAAGCAACCCCAGGCAAGCTGGTTTTGTGGTGCCAAAGCATCGTGGCAGATGAACATTGTGAATGGGAGATCCCTGAGACAGGCAGGACAGAGTGGGTCCGGGTTCCCTCCTCTTCTGCAGGGTCAGTGGGATGAAGGACTTCTAATCTCATCTCCTGGAAGCTAATTCACAGGTATGAGCTTTGGACTGTGAGCTAGAAACCTGGGTCCCGATTCTAGCTCTTAGATCTACTTAACCAGATCTGCCAAAAGGATACAAGGGCTGGCCTAGGTTTCTCCCAGGCAGAGTGCACACACAGACAACTACCCTAGAAGTGCCAGAAAGGAGTAGGAAGCCACGGCAGGGAGGAGTCTGCTTGGCTCCCTCGGGTGCCTGTCTCCTTACTGAGATGCTGCTTGCAATGTTTAGTTTGGTAGAGACTCAGTTGCTGGTCCTTGAGCAAACAGCTTTGCAGTATCTCCTAAGAGACATCAGCATGGGGACAGGGAACAGGGCCCTGGGCCAACTACCAGGATCCCAGAGCATCCCCTGCCCTGGAGAAGCAGTTGTTGAGGGTCCAAGGCAGACATCAATATTTGCCATAGGGGTCGAGAAGGAAGGTAGTGTGGGAGTAGCCACATGTGCACCCTTGTCCACCCAAAGCAGCTACATGGCCGTCAGCTCCTGGTACCCAGTCAGCTCTAAATACTTTCCTGAGAGTTCGCCTCTTTTTTTTGGTCTTTTTCCTTTTTATCGGTACCGGGGATTGAACTCACAACTGCCTGCTTACAAGGCAGGCGCTTATGTCGTTGAGCTAAATCCCCAGCCCCCGAGAGTTTGCCTCTTACAGGGAGAAGGGCATAGGCATTCAAATCTTCTTTCCTCCTCTTCCTAGCTAGGGTGTCCTTAGGTGCACGGGGTTGAGTTTCCTCACTGATAAAATGGATACAATATTAAAAGGGAAGGTGGTCATGACGGTTAAAATACAAATGCAAACTGCCAAGTATGCTGTTTGGCATCTACTAACTACTAAGCCAAGGGGCATTCATGAGGGCCCCTTGTGAATGGCCCCGATCCAAACAGACCAAGAGACTTTTGTTCTAGGTAGAGAAGAAGGAAATGGCCCAAACGGGAATAGGAATTCTCATGTAGCAGTCCTGGAGGGACTGAAGCCTGCAGCAGGGAAATGAAGTATGCTTGGGGCTGGAGCCACCCACCCCTTCGGAGCAGTCTTAGTTCCAAGGCAGAAGATGGCAGACAGGATGGCCAAGCAGATGTCTAGCCCCACTCTGGGGGTAGCTGCATTCAGTTGAGCCTCAGCAGCTGGAGGACCCAAGGCCTTGAAGAAGAGGACACCTTCCTGGGGGCTGCACTACAGGACACTGTTCTTCCTCAAACCAGGCGTTCTGAAAACAGTGAACAAAGCCACTGGCTTTTACATGTATGAAGGAGCGCCAATTGTTGTGGACTGGCAGGGCTGCTGCTTACCACACCTTGTCCAAGCAAAGACAGACTCTGTCTGGAGTTTCTCCAGGAGACAAGTCTAATCCTAGAGGCCTGGAAGTGTCACTGTCTTGTTGCTGGGTGGCAATGAAGCTGCAATAGGAATTTTCTAAAGGCAGGGATGCTGACGTGGATTTCTATCTGCCAAGGGCTATGATTCCGGAGCTCCAGGAAAGCTGTGATGGGAGGCTCCAGCCCCAGAGCTGCTGATATCGCTGCCACTCACTCTCCACCCTGGGAGGGAAGAATGTAGCACTCCAGTAGCTTCCTTCTTGGAAACTGCATGGAGACTGATAAATTAGGATGCATATTAAATACATGGGGAAAGCCAGCAGGGATGGGTAGGGCCTCTCAGCAGGAAGGCAGGCGGTTATGGCTTCTTCCTGAGATAGTTGGAAGGAATCCAGCCTTCCCAGGAAGAGGCTCCGCTAAGGACCTGGCAGAACCACCAGCCACTGCTGTTCTTTTCCCGGACTTCAAACACCGTCCCTTCCTGGAAGCTGTTGGTATCTTCATCTCCTTCAAAACTGGCTACAGCCACATACAAAGAGTCCTTTGGGCCATCGGCATTAGGGATGGAGGCTGCGACTGCTTTTTCCTTGTTCTCTCCCATCTTGCCGGCTACCCATGGCCCAAGCCCGCCTTTGCCTCGGATGTCATCTTGGCTCCCAGCAGAGTTGGAGACGAAAGGTTTGGCTTTGGGAGGGATGAGCAGGGAACGGCCTGGCACAGGAACCACCCTGCCTTCATTGGCTTCATATGATGGCCCTTTGACCTCTGGGAGGGGCTTGGATGATGATGAAGTTTTCTTAGGGGGTGGTGGTCTTCGGGGTGGGACCACAGGTCTCTGCTGGGTTGAGTCTTGGAGAGGGACGGGCACATTTTTAGGTCCAGACTCTGTGGTCTTGGCTGGCCTTGGAGGGGGTCTACAGGACATTTCCTTTGAGCTAAGACCATCTTGTCTGCCAGACTTGTCTTGGGCACGGCCAGGTCCTTCCCCTGGGAGGAAACTTCGGCTAAAGGCCATGTCTTGGCCCCCAACAGCCTGGTGGCCCTCTCCATCCAATAAGGATTTCTCTTGGGACTTGGCAGGCCTGAGCTTACTTCTGAGGTGACAGATGTCCACTTGGTCTTCGCCCTGAGGTGGCTCTGTCCGGGGAGATGGGGCTGGTTTTGGTCTAACATGAGGTTTAGACTTCAAGAATGGATTCTGGGGAATGGCATCTGGCTTGTCCTCTGGTGGTTCAGCTTTGGATTTGGAGATGGGCCGGAGATTGGGCTTCTTCACTTCCTTGGCCAATACTTTGTGGCCGCACTCCAGTCCCATGTCATTTTTGAGTTGGAACAATTTGCTTTTGTCAGGTTTGGGCTCCAGCTTCCTGTTGTCCCGGACTGGGGGTGCATGTTTGCTTGGAATCATTGGCAAAATCATGCCAGGAGGCTTGGCTGGAGAGCCCCGCAGCTGCTCCATCCTCTGCCGTTCCCTCTCCAGCAGTTCTCCTTCTGACTTGATGATGGACTCTTTCCGCGGAGGGAGGCTGGGCTTCTCCTCCAGGTCAGGGTCTGAGATCTCCTCATAGCCTGCTGATGCAGACATGTCTGAAGATGCCTTTCTTAGGGACTCCTTCCCACCCTTCCAGTCTTTGGACCACGACATCCCTGAGTCTGTGGCACCAGGAGGTGCGTTGGGCAGGGGCCGGGAGGGACCCACGGTTTCACTGCCTGTATTGTTCTCCGTGGCTGCTGCATCTCTGAGCCGGAGCTGGGTCACCTCGTGGGGCAGGGGAGCCAGAAAGTTGGGTCTTGAGGCATTGCTGGTCTTCTTGTACTTGTCAATGAAGGTTGCTGGAGCCCACCCTTCCTTATCGTCAATCTGAATGTACCACCAGCCACTCAGGTTCTTCTCAATCACCTGGAGGGGACAGAGGAAAACATTTAGCAAGACTGCTGCTGTTACAGGCAACTGAGCCGGTTAGAAATATTATAGGCAGTCAGACAGGGCTAGGCCCTCAAGGAAGCCAGCACAGAGGACCAAATGTGACCTTGGAAGAGACACGTATCTGTTGCTGTGGACCTGAGCTCAAGACAGAAGGTAAAACAAATGCAACTACACCCTAACATTAGGGATTAGGTATGAATTACCTTGAGAAGCCAGGAGTCACCATTCCAACCCCCTACAGGAAGAGTCACTGATCCGTAAGAAGGCTCGCTTGCTATGTGACTGGTTTCCTGATTCGTTCCTAATTTGGTCAATTCTACCTGAACATTAATCTGATTGGGTGATCATAGTTCTGGCCCACCTCATGTTCATCTGCCTTGAGAGTTCTCCGTTTTTTTCCCACCTTAGACCACCTCACCTCACGGTTTTACTCTATAAAATTTCCTAGAAAAGACAGGATCTTTGGCAATCCACTCAGGATCCCTTTTGTCTTTCACACAAAAGCTTTCTTTCTCTTAATAAATATTTATGCTCTTAAGCGCCATTGTTCCTAAATTTCATTCTTCGATTTTAGAGAACACAAATTCGTACTGGACATATAGTCGGCTGGGAATTTCGTTCCCCCATATCAGTGCCACGACCAGTGGATCAGAAGAGTCCGGAGAACCCACATGCAACAGGAGTACTAGCAGCAGTGCTTCAGTGCTCTGCAGATTCTCTACACTGTCAGAGAGGACTATTTTGGGAGGCACTGCTACGTATCAGAACATCTTACATGGTCGCAGGTTCCTGTCCAAGTCTATCTATTTTTTTTTTTTTTTAAGAGAGGGTCTTACTAAACTGCCCAAGTTGGCCTCAAACTGTTGAGCTCAAGCAATCTTTTGTCCCAGTCTCCTGAGCAATTAGGACTACCAGTGAGTGCCACTGCTCCTGGTGGGTTCTTATCCAATTTTGGATTCTTTTGACAGTTGTCCCTTGAGAATTAGGTAGGTGACAGGTGATCCTAGGAAGGACAAATAAGAAAGTGGAAGAGAAAGGATGAGGAGAGGCCCATTATTACCAAGCTATTGCTCTGGGTCTACTGGGTATGAAACTGCCAAGTGTGCTTTGCAAGACTGTGCAGACAGCAGCTCAGAAGGGGTCTTGTGAAGGCAGGTCATTTAACTATCAATGTTCAGAACTTCCCTACCAGGGCATTAATCCTTTTCCTTTCTAGGAATTAGGTGTGGTCAGCCTTCAGGGACTTGCATGTAGCTGAAACCCACTCAGACAGATCAGGGTACCAGCACCATCTCGTGCAATTCTAAAGAAGGACAAGGAAAAAGTCACGGAGAGCCAAAATGACCGTTAGTCTTGGCTGCTTTGGTTCAGCACCAGATGATATAGCTAACTGGGGTGTGTGGAGACCATGGTATGTGAAACGTGTGTAGACATGGGAATCACACTTAGCTCACTGTTTACAAGATGGTGGAGTGAAACAGATTTTCATCTTCTTCCCGGCTCGTGTCCCCTGGATCCACTCCCACTCATGGAATGGAGGATGGAACCGTCCATAACATCGAGATCTTGCTTCATGTCTCCTTTTGGTCAATTACATGGCTGAATCCATGGGGTTGAACTGTGTCCCCTCCAAATTCATATACTGAAGTGTTAGTCTCCAGTATTTCCAAATATCACTGTATTTAGATAGGGCCTTTAAACAGGTAATCAAGTTAAAAAGGAGTCATAGAGGTAGACCCTAATCTAATATGACTGGTATCTTTACAAGAAAAGATGAGGTTAAGAGGAGGACACAGCAAGAAGGTGGCTATCTATAAGCCAAAAAAGAGAGACCTTAGGAGATACCTTCATTTTTTGAGACAGGGTCTCACTATGCAGTCTAGTCTGGCCTTGAACTCACCAATCCTCCTGCCTCAACCTCCTGAGTGCTGGAATTATAGGCGTGCACCCTCACACCCAACCCAGCATCTTGACTTTGAATTTCTAGCCTCCAGAATTTTGAGAAAATAAATCACTTATTTAATTCACTTCAATTGTGGTATTTTGTGATGGCAGCTTCAGCAAACAGATGCACCGTAATTCCCCTGCAGGGTCTATACACAGAAGGTCTATTAATGCTTACAACCTTCCTGTAAGATAGGGATTGTCTTCCTAGTGTATAAATGCAGAATGGAGTTTCAGGAGAGCCAAGGCACTGGTGGAGAGTCACAAGTAGGCAGGTGGTCTTCCGAGGCAGAACTCTCAGTGCCGCCAACTTTGCCTCTTACATGGAAGACCTGCTTAGGCTGCAGCCATGCCTGCGGTGAGACCTGCTGAGGAGGGCTGCAGGCACAGTCCCGCTGCCCTTGTGCTCTGTGGCCTGGCTGGAAAGAACTGCAGTCACAGCTGTAGCGCCAGGATCCTGGGCTCCAGGGTTCCCCAGCTGCTGTCTGAATGGCCCTGGGAAGCCCCACAATCAGATTCCAACCACAGAAGGCGATGATGGTAAGAACGTATACTTGTGAGATTTCACTGCTGATCACAACAGCTAATGCATGCAATTTGGTAAACATGATCTATTATTAAACTCCGGTGGAAGTCAGCTGAGGAAAGCAGGCTACATCAGACACTTGGTGTACCCGGTGGACTGTATGCAGCACAGGAGATCACCATCCTGTACCACTGGGAAGCTCCGCTAGCAGAGACCACGTGGGATACACAAGTCATCACCAGCACATCTACACATTCAACAAATCATGTACATGAAGGAACGAAAACAGGGCAATAATCAGTGGAAGTTCATCAATAAAGATTCACTAAGCTTAAATTCTATGGAAAGGACTGTGGTCAAAGCTCTGGTCACTTGTGTTTGTAATCAGTATGAGGGAGTTCTGTGTATAAGAGAGAGGCCCAGGTCTATGGTAGATAAAAGCAAATGCAAAATCCCAAGCCTGAGGGGTAAAAAGGAGCCCAGGGGCCAGGATTTAGCTCAGTGGCATAAGCACCTGCCTGGCAAGCGTGAGGTTGTGAGTCCAATTTCTGGTACCAAAAAAAAAAAACCCCCCAAAAACTTGGGTTTTAAAACCAGATAGACCTGAGTTCAAATCCCAGCTCCACTACTTAGTAGCTCTGTAGCCTCAAGCAATTACTAAAACAATCTGGTTCATCAACAGAAGCATTTTGCAAAATTTTGCTTTCGTTCGCATTGGGTGATAAATGTGGCCATCTTTCCTATACAAACATGATTATCTTTTCCAAAATCATAGAACACATTAAGTTCATGAATCAAGGCACCACTGTAATTTACCCAACCTTTCTGAGTCTCAAGTACCTCATCTATCACATAGCTAATAATATTAACTCCCAGGATTGAAACTGTGAAGGCCAGTTATCAGTTGGGTGAGCAACCTGGCACAGAAGAGGTGCCTCCATCACTGCCGCCAGCACTGTCATCATCTACAAAACATGTGTTAAAGCTAAGTAGTCCAGACAAGAAACCAAGAAGGCTGTGGTTCTATTCATGAGTTCTGAAGACTAAGATGATGCTGAAAGGAACCAGGAAGGAAAAGCAGAGAAGGCGAAGACAGAACATATGGAATTTATTAAAAGGCAGGAACACATGATTAAGCCAAAAACTTCAGTTGGTAACTATTTGCTTCATTAACTCTCCCAGGTCCCTACTGGCAAAGCCTCTGCTGACATCACGGAACTGTAAAGCAAAAAAGTAAAGAAAGCCATAAAGAAAAAGGAAGTCACGTATGTGAGCTTTTCGCTGGATCAGCTTTAGCAAAAACTTGGGAGAAAGGCCAGGAAGAAACAAGGGGAATGGCTCTGGGCGAAGTGTCAGTGGGCCCAGAGGGGCCTCCTTAACACCTCCGGAAGATGCCAGGGACTCCCGTGTCTGTCTGCACTCAGCACACTGCTCATGACACCCTGAGAGGCGGGCAGACTTCTCAACACTGAGCCAGGAAGTGGTAGTGCTTATTGGCAAGTGTTCAGTTTGCCAGCATGCTCAAACAATGATGTCTATGAGCAGAAGCTGCTGGAAACTCACTGTCAAAAGCTGTTTGGTTTTTTCTTGTGGTGCTGGGGATGGAACTTAAGCCTTTGTATGCTAGGCAAGGGCTCTACCATTGAACTATGCTCCTAGGCCTTCAAGGCTGTACTTCTTTTTCCCTAGTATTGGGAATTGAACCCAGAGAGCACTGGGCTACAACTCTAGGTTTTTTAATTTATTATTTATTTTGAGACAGGATGGCTGGTCTCAAACTTGTGATCTTCCTGCCTCAGCTTCCTGAGCAATTGGTATTATAATTGGTGTGTGCTACTGTGCCTGGCTAAGGCTGTGACTTAAATAAGAAGCTTTTATTCCCAGCTCTCTGGGAAGAAGCCCCTTTATGACATGAAATTTGGACTTCTAGTTTTAAGACAGGAGACTGAGAGAACAGTAATTTTCTCTTTCTGCAACAAATCCAGGAAAATAAATAAATAAAAGTGAACCTCAGGAGGAGGAAGAGTAGAAGCTGGCGGACCAGGGATTGCGAGGAATCCTCACAGTGATTGCTCACTGTTTCTGGTAGGAAGCTGCAGTCTAGAACTGCTGTGGGCAGTCTGGATGCAAAAGATAAGACAAGATGCTAGAACATAGGGAAGGGGTGGCCCAGGGGTGACAGAAAGGTGACAGCAGAAGCAGCAGAGTGGCTGGCTGACCTTCTCTCAGCCTTTTACCCCTTTCTGGGAAGGCAGGCAGAGTGGAGTAGGGGATTGCTTAAGGGAGGAAACAATTTGCAGCCCTGGATTACAGACACTACTCAGTGACCGGTTCAGAACGGTCAGAAATGGTACTGAAGCCAAAGAGAGCTGACCAGTTCTCATGTGTACTTCCAGCCTATCTGAAGTCTCATCCTGTACAGTACTAACACATGGAAATAAGTGAAATAAACACCAACAGCACTGCAAGGAACTGACAACCGAGGAAAGAGAGATAATAAGCAATAGTACTATGCATTAAAAAGCATCCTATCCTTAAGAGAAATACGGGCGGACATCAAGTTCATAAAAGAAAAAATGAACAAGAATAAGTAACCAAGAAAAAGAATAAAAAAGTGCTCTTGGAAATATAAATTGTAATTGATGAAATAAAATAAGCAACAGACTCAACAGCCAGAGATCAAATTAATCAATGAAAAGAACACAATGTTTCAAGAATGTGGCACAAAAGCCAGGTGTGGTGGCACAGGCCTGTAATCTCAGCATTCTGGAAGGCTGAGGCAGGAGAAATGAGGAACCCTACTGGCTTAGTGAGACTCTGCCTCCAAATAGAAAATAAAAAGGCATGGGGATGTAGCTCAGTTGAAGGGTGAAGATCCTGAGTTTAATTCCCACTACAAAAAACAAAACACAAACAAAAAAACCCCCAAAACAAACAAACAAACAAACAGCAGCACAAAAGGATGAAGAGGGTCAGGGATATAGCTCAGTGGCTCACCACCTGACTGGCAAGCACAAGGCTTTGAGCTCCATCCTTGGTATCAGAAGGAAAAAAAAATATATAATAGATAATATAAGAATAGTTAAAAGTTAAAAGACATTGGAAATCAGATCCTGAAGTTCCTCTATCAATTTAATAATAATTGCAGAAGGAAAGTCCAAGAAGAAAGAAGAAATCAATATTTATACAAGCGAATGTAGGGGCTGAAGGTTTAGCCCAGTGACAGAGCACTTGCCTGCATGCACAAGGCCCAGGGTTCGAGCCCCAGCACTGATGAATGAATGAAAAAAAAAACAAAAGTGGGGAATTTTCTAGGACAACCTCCTGAGTCTTTAGATTGTAAAGGCGACCTCCTGCTAAGTAGGATAAAAACAACCCACTGCATACCCTGGCACACATTAGTGAAATTTCAGTCCTTTAAGGATAATAGTTATTCCTGAGGGAACCCGAGAAATGACACACTTTGAGTAAGAATGAGACTGACAGAGGTGCTACTAGCAAACAATGTGAGACGAGAATGAAAACAAAACAAAAATCTCAAAAAAAGAAAAAAAAAAAAAAAGACCATGAATAGAACAATAGATTTGAAGTTCTGAGGAAAGATCACTTTTTTTTTTTGTCTTTTTCCTTTTTATCGGTACCAGGGATCGAACTCACGACTGCCTGCTTGCAAGGCAGGTGCTTATGCCGCTGAGCTAAATCCCCAGCCCCGGAAAGATCACTTTAAACTTGGTGTTCAAAACTCAATCACTGAAGAGGGGAAAATAACACTCATTTTCATACTGCCAAGAATTTGGGTATAGGATGGGCCCTCTCCTCATTAACAGACACACAGTTAAACATGAGCCCATGGGAGCTGCCGGGAAGGAAAGGGAAACTGATGCAAATCGGGGCCGGCTTCTTGGGGAAGCAGGAGTTTAAGGTTTTGCTAGGCCAAGTTCAGTTCAGAAATCAGCCTTGAGAACTTCTAAGAGAGGCAAATAGAAAACTGGAGGCTGGGTTAAAGGAAGGTCATTTCTGCCGGGGCAGGAAAGGTGACCAAGGCCAGCTTGACCAGTGGGGCTCAAGAAAGCAGCGGAAACCTTCCTGAAGGAGCACGGTCTGCTGCTATCACAGGCATCCGAGGCAGACCTTCTACACCTGCATCGGAACGGAGACGAGGACGATGGCTGCTGCTCGGGCAGCGTGAGTACCCACTGCCACGTAAGAGCAGGGTTCTACACTTTACAAACACGCTTTGACGAGTTACGTGTCCCTTGCCCTCAAGTCCTGCCTTTGTGCCAGTCTTCTTCCCGTCACCACCTCCTTTCTTCCTTGCTTTCGTAGTCAACTCTGTGAGTTCCCTACAACCAGTGTTTGCACTTGTTCACTTCTCATTCTGTTCCATTTTCCCCAGGGGTCTGGTTGATTTCCCCACCTCTTTAATGGACTATTCTTGCAAAGTGACAGGCATGGTATCAGGAATGCACCTTTACAGGCACTGACACTGTGAGTGCTCCTGCCTCCATATTTTAAAATTTTTATTGTCTTTTTTTAGGCAGAGTTCAGGCTGGCCTTCAGTTCACTTTTGTAGCTCAGGCTGGTCTCGAACTTGCAATCGTCCTCCTGCCTCAGCCGCCTGAGTGCTGGGATTACAGGCGTGGATCACCACGTCCGGCTCCTGCTGCCTTCAAATGCTCCATGGCTGCTTCCTTTCCAGCCTATCCTTCACCAGCCTGATCATCCAACGCCAGGGTCTCATGGCTTCCTTCCCAGCCCTCTCATCCTCTCCTTCCTGTTTAATTCATCCACAACTTCTATTTAATCAAGAGAGTAACCTTTCAGTGTCAGACATGACATCCAGATGTCCATCAGCAGCACCATCTGGCTGTTCCTCAGGCTGCTCTGCTTCTCCATGCCTAACACCAACCTTGTGGTCTTTTCATACCCTATTCCTACTCAGTCCTTGCCGAGATGACACCTTAAACATCCGTGACAGTTTTATATGTTAGGCACTCAAGAAGGTGCATAACGAATAATGGTGCAGGGCATATTCTTCTCTAACAGGTTAAGACACAACTCAGAATTTTCCAAAATTTTCTCCCTGTAGCCACTGATGCAAATAATAGCAAAGTGAATACGCAAAATAATTTCCTTTTTTTCCCTTGTGAAACATCAAGATACCTTGTTGCCTCTTGAAGCAAAGTCAGAGGAGATTCCACAGGTTCTGAAGACCCTATGGTCAGAGGATGCCAAGCTAACCTTCTGGGTGCTATGCACAGGAAGCCCAGGCCAGATACAGTATGGGCTGGTGCCACTAGCAATCTAGGGGAAGGAGACAACAGGAGAGAGGGGGAAGGGGCGAAAAGACTGCCAAGGAAGTGTCCTGGGGCGGGTGAGTCAGTGGTACCCCTGGTCCTGGGCTGTCACACACACTGGAACTGTGTTTTTTAGAAGACAGAGGAGGGGACAGAGCCCTGGGCTTGTGCACGTTAGTTAAGTGCTCTTTAGGAAGAGGGTCTAAAAAGCCCCTAGCACACACAACCACAGTAGGTATTTCATAAATACTGCACTCCTTGGTAGCTATGGGGGACTGGTTTTAGAACTCCATGGATACCAAAATCCATGGATGCTCAAATCCCTAACATAAAATGGTATCATATTTACATATACATATATCCTCCTGTAACTTTAAATCATCTCTGACTTACTTACAATACTTAATACCTAAGACAATGCAAATGCTATGCAAATAGTTGCTATATCTGACACATTCAGTACAGTTTTTTTCTCAAATATCTTCTGTCTGTGGTTAGTTGGCTCCCCAGATATATATAACCTGTAGACATGGAGGGCAGACCGTACTGCATTTGTTGCAGAGAGGAACACATTAAATCTCTGTCTCCCCAGATGGTAAGGCAGCGTCTGGCCCCCTGCATATGCATGACACAGTGGAGGTGGGGTATCCGTGACTGGCTCTGTAAATGGTCTTAAGAGCCACCTTCTCCAAAGGTTTCTGAACCCCAGTCCCTTTGGCCATTCCATTACTTACAGGCTTTCTTCAGAGTATGGCAAACACCTTTAACTTCATGAAAACAGAAAAGAGAAATGCAGGAGGAGCGAGGATTTATGCTGGGTTCAATCCAGGGATCATAGCAGACACACAGAGGGAATGGGAAGAAAAGGAGAAGCAAGACGGGAGGCAGGAGGTGATTAAAAAAAGAAAGAATACAACCCAATCTCAAAGAACCACATAGCGCACAATTCCACTTATAGCCCAAGTCCAAAATGGGCAAATCTAGAGGAGCAGAAGGGATGGCAGCAGGGCTGAGGGGAAATGGGCAAGACTGCTCGTGAGTTAGAGGTTTCTTTTTGTTCTCAATTTAGACAGTTGTACTGGCTGTGCAACTCTGGGAATAGAAGAAACCACTGAATTATTTTACACTTCATAGTGATAAAATTGCTTGTTATGTGAGCCGTATCTCAATGAAGCTGTTAACTTCTCCCCACCCCAGCCTTCACATGCAGTAGGTAAGAGAGGGCCGATGCCTACCATCGGCAATGACAAACAGACGGGAGGGCAGGCGCACTCACCTCAACCTTCAGGCCCGCCTGGAAGCTGATGCCGTCTGGGATGATGGTCTGGAACTCTGCGATGGTGTAGTACTCTTCTTCCACCTGCGGTGGGACGGGCGGCTTCGGCAGGTTGAGACCTCGAGGCTGGGATAATTAAAACAGGGCTAAGCATTACCAGGATGTGAGTCAGGGGACTGCAGAATGTACTCACCACTGAGAGGGTGCAGGTGGACCAATCTAGATGCTAACAGTTACAGCAAAGAGGACCTGACTGTCACCTTCTAGAAGAAACCTCACTGGCCCTTCAACTTTAGAGATGACGAGAAACATGGGACATCTGGCTGCATTTTTAAAATATGGGGCAGGATTTCAGTGTTGGAATTCAAGGGGCAGTTGGGGCTGTGGAAAAAACACAGATTTGTAAGTCACATCCATTTGATTGGAAATACAATGATGGGTGTGACTTGGGCCAAATGATCTTCCCCCTGGAGAGCTCAGTTTTATCTCCTACAGAATGAGTACAATAATAATAACAAGTTGGTGTGCTCATTATAGGTATTATTTTTCTTTTTTTTGAGACAGGATCTCACTGCTTAGTTTAGGCTGGCCTTGAGTTCACAGTGTAGCCCAGGCTGGCTTCAAACTCATTACAACCCTCCTTCTTCAGCCACCTGACTGCTGGGATTACAGTTGTGTACCACCATGCCTGGTTTACTACAAGTATTAAATAATATAGTGCATCTGGTGCACTGCATGGTGCTCAATAAATGGCATGCAAAGGAAAGAAAGAAAGAAAGAAAGAAAGAAAGAAAGAAAGAAAGAAAGAAAGAAAAGAGAAAGGCCTGTTTCTCCAAGTGGGGGTTGAGTAACCTTTATTCAAAGTGCTTACTGGAGGTGTTTGGATTTTACATAGCTGCATATACATACTGAGATATCTTGGGGATGGGTCCCAAGTTTAAACATGAAATTCATTTGTATTTCATAAAGATACAGCATTGCAACCTGTCACTTAAAGTCAGGTGTGGAAGTTTCCATTTAAGATGTCCCAACAGTGCTCAACAAGTTTTTGAATTTTGGAGCATTTTAGATTTTGGAGTTTTGGATTACAGATGCTCAACCTATGTAGTTTAAAAACATACCTAGAGAATTTCGTAAGGGAATATAATATAAATGATGCTTGTGTCTCACCCAAACTTGCACTTTGGCGCATCTCCCTTGAGAAGACTGAGCTAAGAGAAGGGAGCAGAGAGGTCCCAAGGCTGAATATCACAAATATTCTCTGGAACCTGAGTAAGGCATTTCAGCAGCCCAGGCCTGTCTTTTCACCTGTTAATGAGACTGCCTGTCATATAGCTGACTCTACAAGGACGCTGCATGGACAGGAAAGAGCATCTCTGGAAAGGTTGAGGGCATGTGGGGGCCAATGGGCACCCCTGATAGTACTCTGTCAGGAGCCAGCTCCCCAGTGGTGAGAGTCCACTTACAATGGTCATATCCCGGCGAGGAGGGGGTCTCTGCCTCATCTTGGGTGATCCTATGGAGAAACGAGACTTATTTCATTCATATGCAGAGTTTTACACATAAAATTCCTGATGTGGACAGATGCCAGTGAAGATCTTGTCTGTCCCACTGAAGATGGGGCAGAACCTCTGCCCAAGACACAGTTCGCCACTGTAGACTTTCCTAGAAGAAAAGTGTGAGCAGGGAGGAGCTGTGCATGCTTGGCTTAGGACCTGCTCTCAGAATAGCTTTGCCTGGATCTTTCCTATGCAGGGACGTAGGGCATGGTGTCCAGTTCTTGAGCCACGGAAAGCTTTCCCATATGGGCAAAAGGCACAGGCTAGAATCACACAGAAATGGATTCCAACCCAGTTCTGAGGCTCCAGACTTCTGGCAGAGGACAAATCGATCAGGTGATTGTGAGGCACAAGGCCTTCTTCTGTGGAGAAGGCAGTGATGGAGAGGAACGGCAGGTGTGAAGCTCTGAGCAAGTCACAGGCATGCAATAAGTTTTAGTGTGTCTCGTTTTGTGCTCACCAACACAAGCTTCAACTAAACAACACATCAACAAATGGGATCAAAGAGACACAGGATGGCAACTTCTGGGATTTTTTACTCTGGAGTTGGGCTGACTTGTCTCTGGGTCTTGGGGACAGGGGATGGTTTCCAGTTGCCCAAGGCTCCTGGCTAAAGGAGGAACATTGACCAGGTTACCCATGTGCCGCCAGAATTGGGTTACCACAGGTCCACGCGGGAGGCTAACTTGGAAGCCAGGGTATAGAGGAGGCTGGCAGTCCTTCAAATGCCAATTTCTTATTTACTGTTAAAATAAACAGCAACAGAATTTGGGCCAAGATACTCAGCTGTCCATACAAACACTGTATTTCCCAGATGTCCTTACAGCCAGGCATTGCCCTGTGACAAAGTGCAATGAAATGTCAGGGAAAGTAGAAAATTCGCCGCTTCTGAGTTGTGTATTCCACTTCTTTTTCCTGTCTGTGTTACACTGGCTGGACTGGTGATGAGCCATAAGGATTAGGTGGCTGAAAGTGACACAAGAAAGAGTGAGGGCCAGGACCTCGACTCCAAGGAGTTGTCCAATTGGCTCTGAACATACAGAAAGAGTTTCATGAGAATGAAACAAATACCTCGATCATCTGAATTACTGTTATTACGGTATGTGTACGCATGTGAGGAAATGTGACCAACACTCTCTTAAGAGCTGGAATCCTTTATCAACAAACAGAATCTTTCTACCTTCTATGACCAGGTGAGGATCGTGGGTACTGTCCTTAAGGCTAGCACCTGGGGTACAGTGCAGGTGTGTGAGAAACAATAAATGATACAACATATACAAAGAGGCTTTGGAAAGCCAGATGAAAAGTACTACTAATCTAGGGTCCAGTTTTTCCTTCTCTGGCTCAGAAATGACGTCATGGAAGAGAGCAGAGAGGGCACAAGTATTTCCTTGGCTCAAGTCTTGGCCACACCATTTACAGTGGGTGGCCCTGGGCTCACTACCTCACCTCTCTGATACCTCACCTGTACCTCAAAAGCAATAAGGTCCCTCAAAGTTTGTTATGAGCCACTGACACTAACGAGAAGATCCTTGGCACACAGTAGGTGCCTATCATGGCACAGTGGAACAAACTCAACATAGGGAAGGGAAGCAGTGTACAGACTCGCATTTTGCATCCTGCTGGCTGTATGGTATGGGCCAAGTAACCCCAGGGGTCTCAGCCTGTTTCTGTCTACAAGATGCTAGAATAGCAGCGCTGATGCAAGAAGAGAACAGTGTGTGAGAGCTCTGCACACACAGCCTGGCATGCAGCAGGCCTTCGGCCATCAGCAGCTTACGTGGGCATCACTTACTCTGCTTAATGTCACCATCGTGCAGTGGGCGGCCTTCAAACCGGCCGTCCCTCTGGTTGTTGAGCAGCTCCTTCTCCCTGCCCACTGCATTCTGTTGCCTGGCAACACCATCCAGGTCAGGGGTGCCCGAGTGGGCAGATAAGCCAGCACCCAGCTTCGAAGGCAAGGGCTCTCCACTGCTCTTCTTTAGGTAGGAGGCAGGGGCCCAGCCTTCTTTGCCCTGGTACCTGGAAAGAAGAAGAGTGCTGGTCACAGTGGTCTGCTAGGCTCATGGAGGAATCCAGCTTCTACTGAGAATCCCACTTCAGTCCAGACAGCCAACCGATGGAGACTAACCACCCAGGAGCAGAGTATGACACAGCTTACCGCCTTCTGATCATGGCTGAGCCCCGAGTATGGTACTCCATACTTTTCAAACTTAAGTCTCTGCTTGCCTGTCTCATATCACCCCCAATATCCCAGCCGCCCAATCCAGCTTGCAGTCCCTCAAATGCACCATCACCTTTCACCCCCATGCTCCCTCACTCTTGGTGACTCTTCCCTGCCTCTCTGGGTAAGCACCTGCCCCTTTTCTCTGGCTTTGCTTAATGCCGTTCCTTCCTCAAGCCTTTTCTGACCTCCACGGCACCCCATTGTCTCCTGTGCCACACCAAGCATCTGCAACACAAGGCAACACTTGGTGGCCATCGTGCCTGCCAGTTAGAATGTGAGTGCCTGGGGTTAAGTAAAGCAGCAGACACACATCTGTGTCGGTCGCCTTGGTGCTAGTGAGCTGAAGGACAAAATAAAAGTCTGAGTAACAAGCTGCCAATGGGCGTGGCACAAAGAGAGCAAAAGCTGTTACACTGCTGTCTCCTTAGTGTCACTGTGTGGTGATGACACAGTGACAACAATGGAAAGTGGTCCTCGGTGGGCACTCACTGTGTTGGTTTGGCCCGAGGGACTTTATTGATGTGAACTCAGCCAAACCTGGGAGGGAGGCACTGTAGGCAGAGCAACCCTAATCCAAAATCTGAAATCCAAAATGCTCCAAAACTTGAACCTTTTTGAACAATGAAATGATGACAAACAAAAAATTCCACCTCTGACCTCACATGACAGACTGCAGTCAAAACTTAAGTGTGTTAAAAATATTGTGTAAAATTGTTTTCAGCCTATAAGGTGTGTATGCAAAATAAATGCGTTTTGTGTTTAGCCAGGGTTCCACCCCCAAGATTTCTCATTACCTCTAAGCAAACATTCAAAAATCTGAAAAACACCCAACATCCAAAGCACCCCTGGATCCAAGCACTTTGGATGAGGGACACTTAACCCTTATGTGATTTACTTTAAAGACAAGGCTGAGACTGAGATGTCAAGCACCTTGCCCAAAACTGCAAGCAAAACAGATTCTGATCAAGTGATCCTGTGTTTGCTATTTCATCCCAACAGCCCCAGCTTCGGTGCAAAGCTTGGCACTAGCAGGGTGGGCTCCACTGGTGCTGATTTATATGCAGATTAAACACTCACCATAGGAATGAAGCAGGCCCAGGGAGGCTGTCACTGAACTGTGAAATGACCAGGATGTTGACAGACCAGCTCACTGACCTCCCCAAAGCGAATTCAGTGAGTGTAACCACCACTTCATTTTCAGCATACAAAACTCTGTGACCAGAGGGGTCCGGACTAGTGAGGTGTGCTGGGCCAGCTAACAGTGCACATCTTTTCAACTCTGTATTTAGTGACATCACTCTGATAGCTTGAAACTGTGCATGCTGGATGTGTTTATAGACTATGAAAGCTGGCAAGATCACAAGTTAGAACACTCTTCTCACTGAAAGCTGTTGTTAAACATTTGCAAGTATCCCACAAAACAGGTGCTCACACCTCTGGGGAAAATTAAATAGAACCAACTCACAGGAGACAGCACACAGCAAGGCCAAATCTTCTGTTGAGAATCACTTTCAGTACTAAATAGCCTTGAGTTTCAATGAAAAACAGGTCCTTTACAATATGAGGCAAATTTATAAGGTAGAACTCTACCTATTTTAGTGTCTACCAACCTTAAATATCCTCCATGAGGGGATGAATTTTGTCCAACTGGAAAAAGTCTGGCTCCACACTATCCTCATACTCAATATGAGCCAGGTCACTATCAAGGACACACGGACAGTGGTGGGCTCGGGGTGAAAAAGGTATGCGTTCAACTTTGCAACTTTTGCTGAATCTTCAACTGAGTGCGGCCATCACTGACACCCTGGTCACCCAAGTCACCTGAACACCAGAGCTGCCAAGTTCTGGAATAATTTGTTATGTAGTAAGATAACATAGTAGCCCTGTGCCACTTAACAATGGGATGCTTTCTGAAGATGTGTTGTTAGGCGACTGCATCATTTTGCATTATCAGCGTGCTTACCCAGCCTCTATGCACAGCTACGTGCTGTGTGACATACACACATAGATACATACGTGTGCTTACACATGTACTTATGTGGTACATTCAAAATTAAATCAGCCGTACAGTGAAACAATGGAATCAAGTAGGGTAAGTACTGGGCATAGGAGGTTCCTGCCAACAAGATGGGACACACTGTCCTGACCGAGTCTAAGTCCTCTGCATTGAGCTACCTCCCCTGACTCATTTTATTTTATGAAAAGATCTTGTTAAATTGCTGAGTTACACAGGCTGGTTCAAATTTGCATTCCTCCTGCCTCAGCCTCCTAGAGTGCTGGAATTACAGGCATGTGCCACCACATCTGGCTGATACAACTCATATGCCTGGGGCAGCACAGTAGGTTTACTTGAACCGGCATCACCCCAATCATGTGAGTAACACCTTGTGCCACTGTAATGCAACATCCATGGTATCACTAGGGGGTAGGAATTTTCCAGTTCCATTGTAGGTTTATGGGACACCATGGCACATGTGGCCTGTCACTGCCTGAAATGGCACATGACTGTATGTGTTCACTGCAGGTTCACTATCGTATCATTCCTTCAAATTTCTGATCTGAGGTGCCCACCCTGGAAGCCTTCCTGAGCCCCCAGACCCCTCTGTGTGCACCGCAAGTCCCCTGTGCATCTCTCCAACACACTGCCTCTCTGCCCAGCCTGCCCAGTAGCTGACTTTTGCTACTCCTGTAAACTACCATGCTCTGCCCAGTGCTTCGCCACACAGGTGAAATGTGCAGCCTCGGGGTGGTGTGTGAGAATCAGACTGGTCTCCGGTAAGGTCAGAGTGGGTGATTACTCAACGGGGCAGCTTCAGCCTTGAGTTACTCATCTTGAGACACATCTGGAAGAGGAGACCAGTCTTGCTTAACTGGGCTCCTGCTGTCTGTGGTTCGGTGTGTCTGGAGATTTTGTTTATTACAGACTTTTAGGAAGGGTCATGGGTAGGAAGGGAAGCCAAAGAACACTGAGAAGTGGTACAGGCAGAAAAACCTAACCCACCTGCTACCCCTTAGAGACCTCTGTGAAGCTGGGGCCTGCATGACCTGATTACCTGATCTTCCACCAGCCTTCCAGGTTTTTCTGGATGACCTCCACCATAGCCCCTCTCTCCAGGTTCATTTCATCCTGGTCACGAGCCGTGTATGGGTAGATGACTGTGTACTTCTCCTCTGCAGGGACAAAGGGTGCTGGGATGAGAAACACATGTGAAGAGGGCCGATGCTCGCCGTGATCTGTGTGATGGAGTAGAGGGATGACCTCCAGACAGTCCCGTGCACCCGCTCCATGGTCCCCACATAGCTCTGGAGCACAATGCGTCAACAGCAATATGATGTAGGATAAAGGGCAGTCCCAGCACCTCTGAAACCCCTTGTATCGCATCACCCCCACTGCCCTCTAGTTGGTGCTTCAACTTTGTGTTCTTGACCACCTATCAATAGCTGGATTCATGGTGTCCTTTTCGCCTTACTCAGGTTAAATATCCACCCACCCGATTCCAGGAACTACTTTCTAACACATGTAATATTTCCTTGTTTATTGTATTTCATGCCTGTTTCCTCTGGTAGAACATGAGCTCCGTGAAGACAGGAATTTGTCTGTCCCTTTCTCCTCAATGTCCAGCCCTGGGCCTGCCCCTGGAAGATTTAGTAACTGGAGAATCGGTCTCTGTTCAGTAAAGAAAGAAGTCCTGAGGCCGGGTGGAAGCCAGCTTGCTCACACAGAGGGGTTAAGCTCTCAGGGCTCCTTGCCAGCTCTTCCTGGCATAGAATCAGAGTTCGGAGATAAGCTGACTATTGGCACTGGATGATTTCGAGCTGAAATCATCACTGAGGAGACAGCGGCAATTCTCACTGCCTAGCTGGTAACTGATCTTCACTTTTCATTAATGACACCACGTCCCTGGATCCAGACATGGCTGAGGCTTCGATTATCGCTTGAGTGGAGTGTCTTCCACCCACTCCCTGGGCTCCCCATAAGGAACTATCCGGCTCCAGGTGCCTCTCTGGGAGCTGCCTGCAGCTGTGTCCCCTCATAGTCTCCAAGGCAGGGGCTCAAAGGGAGGACTGCTCATGGTCACTGAGGCAAGGAACAGCTCCTATCCTCAACGGCATCAGCTCTGGTTGCTGAACTGGAGAAAAATAGATGCACAGCCAGCAAGCAGAGGCGGGGGTCACCCTGCTCTGTTCCATTTCAGCTCCTGGGTGAGTTCAGGCCAGCTGCGGTCTGGTGCCCAGGCAGTATGTTGGTGCAGACTCTTTGGGCAAATATACTGTGGACTCTGTGGCTTGCCAGCTGCTGCAGAAGGGGGTGGAAGCACACAGGGCGTTTATTTATTTATTGATCTGGCCTGCTGACCTGCTCTGTGGGGGTGGTGCTGACTCGCGGCACATATCCTGTGTTCAGCTGTTCCCTCTCCCATGGAAGCTATGGGGTGGGGTGCTGGGCTGTGACCCATGAAAGGGGTAGTTCAACCCCACGGATGTACAGAAGCTATTTGGTTCAGCTGGAAAGGAGCACTACTTCAATCCCAGGCTAAGTACAGACAGTCTACTGGATTCCTGTGTCCCCAGGCATTCTCTAGTAGCCAAGAGGTTCTCTCTGGGATCTGAGAGCTGCTCAGCCATTGCAGACTAAGCTCAGGATGGAAGCTCTTGTAGACTGCATCATGGGTGCCTGCTTGACTCCCTGCTGCCTACCCACCAGAGGTCCTATCACCTTCCACCTATGTGGCTAGGGAAGGGTAAGCCTCTCTCTCCTGGAGGGAGGGGGCAAGAATATTTTTCTGGTTTGGCCATAGTGCTGCAAATCCAGCCACTACAACTGGTTCAGGGATGCCATTTGTCTGGGTGGGTCAGTTGGAACCAATTCTTGGGCTTGTGTTTAAGAAGTTGTTTCTTTGCTGAATGTCCCTGAAAAGTGCCTCAGAACTGTTGTCATTAGGAGATAACGAAGCCAACCAAGCAGGAAATGGAGTAGGAAGGTGGTAATAGAGGTCCTCATGACATCCTCACATCCCAGGACCCAGTCATGCTTGAAACTGGCCCTGCCCTGGGGACATCCTCTTCTGCATAACCTGGCTGAGGTAGGCTTTTTCCCCTTAGAGCTCAGTGAATCTGACAGAAGGACAAGGTCGCTGGTTCTGCATCACAGAAGACCTCAGGACTTTTTCAGAGCCCCGAGACTGACAAACACCGCAGGCTCGCTCCCCACCATCCCGCATGCCAGCACACACACAATACTGACAAGTCACTGCTTCTCACATGCAGCAGGCAGGAAGTCCCAGAGGAGGAGGCTCATGCAGATGCAGGGACCCACTGTGACACCAAATGGAAAGTAAACTCTGAGGAAGGCACCTTGGCGCCAGCTGATGGCATACAAGTCCCCCAGAGTCCGGCGGCGACCCGTAGGCCGGGGCAAAGACCAGTACCTCCACGACACTGGACAGGCGGCATGTGGAGGGGAGGGCAAAGGCAGAGGTGAGAAGGGAGCACTCCTGAGTCTATTCTGAGCCAAGTGCTTGAGTGTTAACCTTCAACTTGAATCAAGTGGCCTCCAACAGATATAACTATTCTTAGCATGACTATAATGAGGCATTAAACCTCACAGTATGGGGAAGAATGTCCAAACCCTTTAAAAAAAAGGTTCTTTCTCTCCCAACTATCGGCTATGAGATGCTGGTTAAATTGTTCTTTTCTGAGCCTGTTTTGGATAAACGTCGATGGTAATCATTCCCTTACAGAGTGTGTCCACGGTGGTCATCATGTACTGACCGTAGAAGGGTGCTGTCTCCATGTCGTTCACCACCTGCTCTAAGCTGCTTTTTGTAGCATCCCTCTGTTAGCCTGGCCCCACTGCCCAGAGGTCCTCAAGACAACAAACCAACTCAGCAATATAACTAAATGCAAAACCACATACTTTTTTTCTTTTTGCTAATCCTTGCATTTGGAAATAGCTCCTCTATTTATGTAATTTATTTATTTTGGAGACAGGATCTTACAAGGGAGTACAGGGTGACCCTGAACTCTCAATCCTCTTGACTCAGACTCCCAAGTGCTGGGATTATAGGTGTGCACCACAATGCCCAGCTTGTACCATCTCCCCTCCCCTCCCTTTTTTTGATACACAGGCACATAAAAGTGGCTCTGTGCTTCAACAGTCTGCTGCAAGCCAACACTCAGCCCTGGGTAAAGCGTAGCTTATTGATGACTTACTGTTTATTACTCTCAGTTCTCTGCATGTAGAAACTTATTTAACTTTCTAAAACTCCCACGATACAGCTATCATCATTTCCATTTTCATGCAAGGAAGTTGCATTTTAGAGTGGCAGTGTTACTGGCCCAAGTGGAAATGTGGCATAGCTGAGATTCAAATTCAGGTCTCCCTGCCTCCAAAACACCCGTCTGCTAATGAAGGTGAACACATGCTTTGGTTTCGGGAAGCTTCTAGGGAGGAAGGGAGTGGGTGGGTGTTGGTATTGCTGGCATCACCATTTTGGGCCATTTACATAAACAGAGAACAGGAAATTTTTTTTTGTACCAGGGATCGAACTCACAACTCCACACTTGCAAGGCAGGCGCTTATGCTGTTGAGTCCCAGCTCCGAGAACAGGCATTTTTAAATACATTGGGTCAAAGATCTTGCACAAGACCCAGCAGTTATACTATCTTTGTCACCAGAAAAATCCTAGGGAGGGGGCTGGGGATTTAGCTCAGCGGCATAAGTGCCTGCCTTGCAAGCAGGCAGTCGTGAGTTCGATCCCTGGTACTGATAAAAACAAAAAAGACAAAAAAAAAAAAAAAAAAAAAAAGAAAAATCCTAGGGAGGAAGAGTGATCATGACGAGGCCCCACTGGCATCCTAAGAGGTTGCCAGGGGAACAGCTATGGCCAGGTTCATGTTGGGTGGCTCCCAAAGGAAGCAGGGGCTTGCCCTTCAGCCTAACCTGTTCACAATGTGTGTGCCAGTGGGGCGCTGACACCTGGAGGCAGAGGCTGAAAAGGAAGGGACTGAGCAAGGAAGCAATGCAATGTGGTCCCCGAGCTCTCGGCAGGTGGGGCGAGCATTCCTGCCTACCTTCCTCGGGCTGTAGGGAAAATTCATCCTGCACACCGTCCTGCCCCTCGAGGCATGTCGCAGGGACCCAGCCTTGCTCCTCTGCGGTGCTGACAAACCACCAACCTGGGGAAGTGAGAGCATAGAGTTATGTCAGTCAGTGGGGCCAAGCAGTCGGAGTGTAATAATAAGAGTTATCCCTTGGTCTGCAGGGGGACTGGTCCTAGGACTCCAGTGGGAAGCAAAATCTGCAGATGCTCATTTTTTAAAATAAAAAATAGTGCAGTGTTTGCATGACCTATACATATTCTCCCATAGACTTTTTTTTGGTATGGAGAATCGAGCTCATGACCTCATACTTGCTAGGCAGGCACTGTGCTGCTGAGCTAAATCCCCAGACCCCTCGCCATAGACTTTAGACTTAGTCTCTACTTGACTTAAATACCTAATACAATGTGAATTGTTTAGGGAATAATGGTGAAAAAATTTGTACATGTTTAGTACAGATTCAGTTCTTTTCCGGACTACTTTCTACCCATGGTTCGTTAAATCTGAGACTGTATATTAGCTGCTCTATCAGTTAATGCTTAGAGTAAGCCTAAAATGCTACCATCTTACTGGTGAAATACAACTATCAACGTTAGCTGTTAACATTAAGAACAGGCTAACAACTATTAAGAACTTCCTCCTGAGCCTAGGATAGGGGAGAAAAAATGTTATCGTAAGTGATAAAATTCAGCATTCTAAAATGTGCATATGATGCACTAACAGATTTACTTATATTACTTTAAGTAATCTTCACATTATTATCCCCATTGCACACATGAAGAAACTGAAGCTCAAAGAGGAAACAGACTCATTGATATTCATCCGGCCTGTAGCACAGCAGTGGTTTGCGCCAGGGCTGTTTGATACTGAAGGCACTGCCCTGACAACTTCTCTGGAACTTTTCTTTTGCATCTGTATGCAGCAAGGAAAATCTGGCTGTGGCTGTGATGTGTGGAAGTGAGGGTCCTCGTTCCACACCAAGGAATCCCCTAGAGAGAAGCCTTGTGTGGGTGATGTATGCGGCAGGTCACGTAATGCCCTCCCAAGATCTCCAGGCCCTAATCCCCAGAGCCTGTGAAGACAGCTGGCCCTCTGAATCTTTGGATTCTACTTCTACAAATTCAACCAACCATCCAATAGGAAATATTGGAAAAAAATTTACATCCATACTGAGCATACACTCTTTCCTTACCACCACTCCCTGAATAATACAGTGTAACATCAATTTACAAGTTTTTACATTGATTAGGTGTTAGAAGTCCTCTAGAGACGATGTAAAGCATGTATGGGAGGATATATGCAAACACCATGCTGTTTTATATAAGGGACGTAAGCATCCATGTATTTTGGTATCTGTGGAGGTCCTCAGATCAATCCTCCATGCTCAAGCACGGATAACTGCATAATTAAAAATAAATGCTGCCAGCATGCTGGCTCCTTGTGGATGTGAATATTTTTGTTTGGCCGTCCTCCTGGCTCACGCCTCCTCCCAGTAGCCTGTTCTTCTCTGCTTTACTCAAGTGGGTGATCCTGTGGGATGCATTCTCCCTTCTTGATGTCCGTGTGTGGTGTCCTCAGCCCGCTTCTATTGATCTTCAGGAATTACAAAGTCATTTGGCCTTAGGCTCAGCTGCAATGGTAACTGCACTCTAGCAGCAGCTGAAGGTCTGGCATGAGTGGCGAATCCTCGAAGTGGGGATAATGTAGGATGACATATATTTTTTAGAGTGCATCTGTGGTTCCTGGCTCATAACTCCCACAGCCTTTGTTATTTCCTAAGTCTGGATAAAGTTGGGACACGTTAGGTCGAGAAGAAGGGCTCAGAAAATGAGGTCTCTCTGACTCCTGCCTTCCTGCTTCCACCTGTCCCCTTTCACCCCAACGCAGGTCACAGGGACTAGGACTTCTCTTCCCCGAGGCAGGTCTTGGAAATTAAAAGTATACTGTAACCGTTCCTGCTTTGGAGCTGCTGGCCATAAACTGTCTAATCTACATTAATAGTAGGCTATAAGATCCCATTTCAGCAGGAGCTCTGCCCCCTACATGGGCAGAGGAAGGCTGCAAAGAGGCCAAGATCTGCACAGATAGGCCTTGCGGGGTCTCCCTACCACATCTGCTAGCATCAGGTTCGATCCTTTTGTGCAATCCCATTTCCACTCAGTTGTCCATATTTCAATCACGCCTGTGTGGGCAGGGTTAGGAGAGCTTCTGGATAGCTGAACACGGGAAGCTCCTGGAGTGGGTATGTGAGCTCCACATTCCTCTCATACCACTAGTCCTGTGCAGGTTTTCATCTGTATCCTTTGTAACAGCCTTTACAGTGAACTGGTAAGCATGTATCCCTGAGCTGCTCAAGCAAACTAATGGAGCCCAGGGAGGCTGTTGTTTGGTCCAAGCACATGTAGAAAGACCTGGGGCTTGTGACTAGCACTGCAAGTGGGAAGGGACTAAGCCTTCAACCTGTAGGATCTGACACTATCTGCAGGTAAGGAGCATCAGAACTGCATTGGATTAGATAGAAGACACCCAGATGGTGTCTGGTGCAGAGCTAATTGCTTGCTTGCTGGAGGGAGAAATCCCCACGAATTTGGAGATCACAGAAGTGCCCTGTGCTGTGAGTATATAAGAAGGACACACTGAGATTAAGTAGAAGTAGGATTTCCCTCTAGATCTTTGGAGGTAACAGTTCCTACATTGTGCAACTGAGCTTTCGTTGACTAACACAGATCTCATGACTAGTGGCAATGTGATTCAGAGGATAACACAAACATTATCTTTCCCTCTTTCTTTGAACATGCACAATTTCTAGACTGCAGAATTCAGGAGGTCTGTTTGGCTCACAATGGTCTTGTGATCAATATGACTAATGATAACATGATCAGGATAACAGGCTAATGACAATAGGATGCTGAAAACATCATCTTTTTCCTATTCTGTAGACTTTACTAACCATTGGGGTAAAAGAGGTTGGTGCCCAAGAGTGCTATTAGTCAAAGCCACATTTTAGTCACAAGGAACCCAGCAGGAGACAGAGGAACTGCTCACTCCCTGATCCCTGCTCTGAAGGAAATGAACTTTTAGAGAGCTGTGTGCCAAGCACTGGTTCAGGCCCTTCCTCACATTATCTCATTTAATCCTAGCATGCCCTTTAGAGCAGGGTTTTGAATTCTGTAGATGTGAAAACTGATGATCAAACAGATGATGTGACCTGGCCACTGTACAGCACAGGGTTCAGGTGGAAATCCAGGCGAAGTGTCTCAATCATGCCGCACCCCCTCCACTAATGTGACTAGTGGGCCATGTGCTGGGCAGGGGTGGGGAGAGATGGCAGAAAGTGAGTCTGTTCAGCCAGGCCCCAGAGCTGCTGAGTCTCCTTTCCCCCATAGAAACCAGGGGCCAGTCAAGGAGCAAATTTCCAATGGATCTGCTTGCCTCTGTCTCCAGGTGCTTGTGAACCAGAAGGAATGGGAATCAGAGGACAAACTGGTAACATCTGATCAGGATGCTGGGCAGCTGTGACCAAGTGGCTATCTGAACCCTGTGATCACACAGGGTAGGTCAGAAGCCTCAGCCAGACCAGGGGAGACTGAGGCCTGAATTGCCTACTTGTTTTTGAGTTCCCACATGCTTCTGGTGACAGGGCCTTGGACAGAGTGTAGGGGAGCTTGGGTCCTACCTGACTCATTCTTCTCGATGATGTCTACCACCTGCCCCACGCTGAGGCTGATCTCTGAGCTCTCTTGCTTCTGATAGTTTGCAACCACCACGTACTGCTCTAGGACCATGGGATCGACCGAGGCCAGGTCACCACCTATAGACAGCAAAGCAATCAGATGTCACCTGTGGCCACTATCACTACGTGAAGAAGCCAGGGGTGTGGGTTAGGGGGCTTTCCAGATAAAGAAGCTGTTAGAGGACTTGTCTCAAGGGTGACCCCATTCATGCGTTCTTTCACTCATTTGCTCACTCAGCCACCAAGACTTACCAGGTGCCTACACTGTGCAAGCACTGGGGGTTCCACGTTGAATGATAGGGTACCTGCCTCAAATACGCTCACAGCCTAGGGGGAAAGCTCATTGGGATGGATTAAACAACACTCATGCTGGAATTAATTGACACTATGACAGTACTGCAAAGAAAGACCTTTAACAGGCAATTCTACAGGGGTAAGGCCCTTACCACAGGAGCATGGTTATTACTGAGAGACTTTGTCGTAAAAGCAGACTCTGTTGCTATATGATGTTTGCCTTCCCTAACTGCCTGGCACCACCTCATCAGTTTTTATTTCTTACCACAGTGCTTTAAAAAATAATACTGTACACTTATTTGTTCTTTTCTGGCCTATTTTTCTGTTTTGGCACTAGAAGTCCATGAAGCTGGGCAATCAGTCTCTTCTGTATTCCTGCTGTACTCATTACCTGAAGGCTCACTCATAGGGCCTATGGCCTGACTGTCTAAGGGTCTAGCTAAGAATTAAAAAAAAAAAAAAAGATTGTAGAGTTGTTAGGAAGAGGAGGAAGAAAGAGAATGGGCAGAAGATCACTAATAACAAGTTATTATTATTAGTGATGGAAATTGTATGTGTCCTGTGAAACATTTACTGTCTGGCCTTTTAGAAGAATAGCTGCCAACTCCTGGCCCAGTCCCCGGATGACACCTACTAACACTCAGAAGGGCTGGAAGTGCAGCTCAGTGAAGCAACTGCCTAGTGTGCATGACCCAGGAGGTTTGAACCTCAGCACTGCAAAATTAATACATGTTCCAATCAAAGTGAATCAACATTTTAAAACTTGTGGCTGGGGATTTAGCTCAGTGGCGTAAGTGCCTGCCTGGCAAGCATGAGGTTGTGAGTTCAATCCCTGGTACCAAAAAACCAAAACAAAACAAAAAATAAAAACAAAAATTTTAAACTTGGCTTTAAATGACTTTCCTTACACTTTATTTTGCTTATGCATCTGTCTTTGTGTAAGACTGAGAATATTTCCCAATTCTTGTTTGTCTTTGCATTCCCAGGGAACTAGGGCACTGCCAGGGACACAGTGGGTACTCAATAAATACAGAACAAACAGCTGTGTGTGTTTTCTTCACTCAGTACTGAGCACAGGTGCTTTACAGACATATGTGGAGTGAATGAATGGGAATTTCTAGGGCTTCCTGCCCTACACAGGGCTCTAGTCCTTCTCCTGGAGTACCTCACGCTGAGAGCTATCAGTAAGTACCTGCCCTTCTTATGGGCAACCAGAGATGACGCCTTGCCTAGAAACAGGAACAGCAGCTTTGATTATGTGAGGATCCAATTCAAGCTGCTTTGGCCAGAAAGTCCTATTGCTGCAGTTTTAACAGTTGATGGTAGCCCAGCTGGCTCACTCATTCCTACACCAACTTTCTAACCACTTTACCAACAGGATTTGGCAAAACTATGAGCAATGACAGAATCAGAGAATCCTGAGACTTGTGAACAAGACAGGAACCTAGGAAGAAAGGGGCAGAGAGCAGGGTCAGATCTCTGGTCTGGCCAGAGTAAATCAAGGTCAAACATGGAGACCAGGATGGCACCTCCTCTGAGATTAGCTTTGGGGCTTTCAGATTGCAGTTCCCTGTCACGAAGTGGCTCAGGGATGCGTGGAGTGGCTTTCCAGCATTGCTGCTCTTTTCTGAGGGCATTCAATTTATCAAAATGGATGATGAAAAAAAGCTGGGTGTGGTGACGGATACCTGCAATCCCAGCACTGAGGAGGATCATTATAAATTCAAAGCCAACCTGAACTACATAGTGAGACTTGGTCTCAAAAAACAACCAACCAACCACTCAACCAACCAACCGGCAAACACCCCCCCCCCCAAAATGATGAAAAAGAGAATCCAATTCATCTGATCACCAGCAAGTCTGAAATTAGCTTCAGAACACCTGGGTGTTGCGTGAGGACACCTACTGGTGGAGCACGATACTGCAGCCAAGCTCTACAATGCTTAATCATTTCAATATCTCAAAGCTGAGCCAGGCATCTAAGTTTCAGGAGTTGCCAAGCATGAAATTAAAGGCTTCTTAGGCCAGAAATGCTATGTGCCCCATCAGGAAATAAAAGAGAAGGAGGAGACTTGACAGTGGAAGGGTGACCGGTATCATAAGTGCTAAAAAATATTCAAGGGGCGTAGCGCCTAATCTACCACAGAAGCTTTGTATTTGCGTGTTTTTCTTCATGATGACAAGTCTTAAATTTTTTAAAAGCATAGTGGCAAAGTGGAATTTTCCTTCGATAAATTCACTATACTGCTGTGTTTGCTGAAAGAATCCGTATAGCAGAGACAAAAAGTAAATGGTAGAATAATCAAGAAGAAAGATGCTCCTTAAGCCATCAGCTGATGTGGTAAGCTGTGGTGAGGTGTTTTTTCTGCAGGATGAGCAGAATTTGAGACCACATAAGCCAACGTCTGTGAGAGCCAGCCAGTCAGACTGTGAAATTCTGGGGACAGATGGCCTTCTCCAGCAGGGTTCAGCCACAGAAATCTCAGGAGTTAAATGTTAGTCTTAAATCCCATTTAGATTCAACAGTTCTAAAATAGAGGTCGTGTTCAAAAGGTCAGATAAAAAATAAGGCCAAACCCAGCATGGGTTCTTAGACAGAATGAAGACAGATGCCATTTTTTACCAGGCTTAACTATAAATAAATCTGTCCCCCATCATTGCAGGTGAATGACGCCAACAGCAGTTGCCACAAATTAGAGCTGCGTCTCTCTTTTCCAGACAAGTCCCCTCATCAAGCCTGTCCCGACCGGACACTTATGTTTGCACAAACCAGAGCCAGCGCTTTCTTCTCCTCCCTCCCTCTCACCGCTCCTCCCAGGGAAAGACTCTGTACACACAAGGCCAGGAACTCTGGGACCAGCCTGAGTGGCAGCCCCTCTCTGCTCTTTTCTAAGAAACATGTAATTATCCCCAGGGCTTGAGAACTATTTGCAGTTTTAGCAGGATACCGCGGCTCTGGCCAGTACCAATTAAACCAGAAGGAGAGCTGTACACAGACCATTTGAGCAAATGCCAGAGTTAATTCCAGACGCCCTCCCTAAGGCAGAGAGATCCAGCTCCTTTTCATTCTCTCCTCCAAGATGGCCCTTGAGCCTGTAAAGGTGACCACAGACCCAGAGGCAATAAAGGTCAGGGGTCATTGAATTTGGGATCACAGGTCAGGAACATCCGTGTGCTCTAAGTAATAGTAGTAATAAAAATAGTACCAAACATATATCACAATGTGCCAAACTCTATTCTAAGTGCTTAATAAGTATTACTGTAAGTCCTATCACCATCTTATAACCCAGATTATTATTTTTCTTTTTGTCTTTTTGAGAAAGGGTCTCACTAGGCAGTGCAGACTGGCCTTGAACTCACTTTGTAGCTCATACTGTCTTCAAACTTGCAGTGATTTTCCTGCCTCAGCCTCCCAAGTGCTGGGATTACAGGAGTGTGCCACCATGCCCATTAAACTCAGATTGTCATTTTTATTATTCTTTTTTTTTTTTTTGGTAGCGGGGATCGAACTCATGACTTTGTGCTTGCCAGGCAGGTGCTTATGCCACTGAGCTAAATCCCCAGCCCTATTATTTTTAATTTGAATTTTACATATAAAGAAACTCAGGCCTCTCAGAGAAGTTATCTATCTTTACTTTTGGGATTTCTGCTTATGTTGGATTCCTAGGAAATTAAAGAGGTTAGAATCCTGAAAATCTGAAGACTGAATTGGTTCTAGGCTTGATACAGGCCAGAACTCTTGCAGATGAAGGGGATGGTGGGAAGAAAAAGTGGGGCTGTTATTGAGCTAAATGTTTTTAAAGCCCAGGCCTGCGTGAACTCAAGCACTGCTTTGAACATACCTAGACTCCTGCCCTCTCTCTTTCCACAGTTGCTTCTGATAGGAGAGCTGTGTTGTTGTTCAGGGAAGGGAAAGCTTATTAGGAGGGAAGAGTCTGGTGCAGGGTGAGTGGCAGGGAGCACAGGAATTGCTCCACAGCGTAGCAGTCCCTGCCCAAACAGCAGCTGACCAAACGAAGCACGGAGGCCAAGTGTGGTGCTGAGAAGGTCAGTGGCTTAGGTCCAGGACTCTTACTTCTGCCTGCTTCCCAGCCTGAGGGCATGCAGTTCAAACGCCCTTTGTTACAGGGAAACTTCTGCTTATTCCTCATGACCCAGCCTTTACCTTCTGACACCTTGCAGAACCTGAGGAGAATGCTAAGCTCCCATATTACTTTGTATAAAGTGGAACATGGACATTTAGCCTTCTAAAGGATGGGTAGGACGACATCCCTCTCCTACTCCCATCTCAGGGTTACCAGCGCATGTGTAATTTCTTGGTATAGGATGAAATAACCTCAAATCCTTTTTCTGGGAAGCAGGATAGGATATCAATCAAATAAGCATCCATCCATCCATCCATCCATCCACTCATTCAGGTGTTCGCCTGACCATCTATCCGTCTGTCCACCACCTCCCCACCCATGATGCTGTATCCCCAGTGTGAAACCCAACACCTGATGTTCAGCAGGCACTCAGCAGGAATATGTTAAACACTGAACAAAGAAAAGCAAATGGGAAATACTCTTACCAGATTTCTTTTTTCCAATGTGCTCCCTGTATAGGAAAGAATGGGGGCAAGAAAGAGTAATGCGTCAGTACTGATGTGGATTGCCATGAGTATTTCATTAGGAAAGACTCTTTATCCCACAATAGCATCAGTGGTGCCAGGCGTGGTGGCACACGCCTGAAATCCCAGCACTTGGGAGGTTCAGGCAGGAGGACTGTTGCAAATTTGAGACCAGCCTGGGCTACAAAGTGAGCTCAAGGCCAGGCTGAACTGCATAGGGAGACCCTGTCTCAAAAAGGCCAAAAAAAGGACAAATAAGAAAAAACTGGCATTCTTTAAAAAGGAAGAATTACTCCTAACTTTTTCCCTTTAGCTGATAAGTGCTCCAGTATTCTGTGTCACATATTTGTAGCATGGAAGGCCCTACGAAAAAGCAGGAGGGTGTCATGCAGCATGCAGTCTGGACACAGGGATTAGAGCCTCACATTGCATGGAACCGGGTCCCTACCTTGTCATACAGAGCATGTTTTGGGCTCCCCTAAGGGACAGACTGGGAGCGCAAAGTGCTTGGCAGGAAGTGATAACAGAGGCTCACTAAAGACAGTGGAAGTCGGATGGCAGAGCACACAGCGTGTCTCCTTAGCTACTGTGGCTAGCATTCATGGAGAACAATGACTGATGACTAACATCTGTCGCCCATGCAGAGATTAGGAATACACGGCAAACACAATAGTAAAGTCAGGGCTTATGAAGTGGTTTTAAGTAAAAAATCTTATCAGTGGTACAATTTTAGTAGTTGGGTTGGGATAGATGTTCTGGCAACAGTAAGTAAATATTAAACTCTATGGCTGTATGTTGAAATCCTGCTGCTTTTACCTCACTCATTTAATATAATAACCCTAAGAACTACTTTTTTTAAAAATCTGCATTCTATAGATAAGGAAAATGAGGCATAGTAACTCCTAACTTGTCCAAGGGCACACAGCTAGCAAGTAGTACAAGCCAAAACCCTGGTCCTGTTCTAATTTAAATTAACGTGCCATAAAACTTATGTTTTAAAAGTACAGTGTTCACTAGTTTTTTGAAAAGTTAAAGGTTTTGCAAGAATCACTACTAATCCCAAAACATTTTTATTACCCCCAAAAGAAAGCCTATAATCACTGCAAGTCACTTCCTCCCTCTGCATCCCTTGACAATCACTGGGCGGCCTGCTGTCTCTGAAGGTCTGTCTTCTCTAGCGTTTCATAGAAATGGGATCACACCATAGGTAGCATTTTGTCATCTTTCCACTTAGCACATTTTCAAGATTCATCCATGTTGTGGCATGAATTAGTAAATTCATAGTTTATTTCTCTTTATGGATAATATTCCTTTGTATGGATATACTACATTTTGTTTTTTTTATTCCTTCACTTTCTGGCTGCTCTAAAAACACTTCTATGAACATCCCATACTGAAGTTTTTATGTGCACATTTTTTTTTAAAGTGGTGCCAGGGGTTTGTGAATGCTAGACAAATGTTCTAGTGCTGAGCTAATCTCCAGCCCCGCTTATTCTGGGACAGGATCTCACTAGGCTGCTCAGCTGCCACTGAACTTGCAATCCTCCTGCCTTGGGCTCCTGAAGACCCGGGATTACAGGCCACCCCACCACACCTGGTTAGATATACATTTTCATTTCTTTTGGGTATATACTTGGACGTGGAACTTCTGGGTCACAAGGGTTTAACTCCTTGGTGCTTCTATGAAATTGGAGCTGCACCACTTTAACACAAAGAGCTGTTCTGATTTCTCTAGGTCCTGGATAGCACTTGTTATTTGTCTTTTTGATTATGGCCCTGCTTATGGGCATGCAGGCAGACTTCACTGTGGTTTAGATTTGTACCTCTGGATGGCTGATGGTGCTGAGCACCTTGTGACACACTTACCAGCCACGTGTGGGTGTTCCCTGGAAAAACATCTATTTAGTGTCTGATTTTAACCACCATGTCATAATGCTGCAAGATATCCTTAGGACATGGGCGGGCGATAAACCAGCCCCGGGAAGCTGAGGCCATGGTCTGAGTATCTGGCTGGGACAGCCAGTTGACCACCCTGTTCTCTAGGCAGGTACTGTCTCTAGGAGGCTGGATTTCATAGCCACTGCACAAAAAAGGGCAGGGGCAACAGTGGGGTGTCTCATGTCACGTCTGTTGGCATTTGTGATATACTGGGAGACACTGAGGCCCAAGACTGGAACCTAAGAAGTCTGGTTGGAGCCAGCATGGCCTCTCCTTGGGTGGAGCCCTGCTCAGCTCCTGCTAGAGACACACTGACTGAGGCCATCTCCCAGGGGCCATCCAGGCCTGCCATCTGAGCCATGGTCTGGGCTGCCTCTAGTCCTGGTTCCTACTCTGCTAATTTCTTCCACTGTCCCTGCTGAAGGGGGGCTTGAGAGCAATGGGGCCTCTTGGGTTGTAGCAGCAGCAGCATGGGGGAGCTCAAGCGGGCACCCTATGTTACATGTTTGGATGTGCTCCCCAGTGCTCCTGCTCATGGCAGCAAACCCCTTCCAAAAGCACTTCTTAGAATCCATCATTCCCCATCTGGAAATTGCCTAGAAAGGACCCAGTTTCTACTTAGAGCCTTGATGTGGATATCAGCTTCCAGATCCTGACCAAAGGACCAAACCCACTGAGCAGGACACAACCTAAGCCAACAACAGGGGCCCAGCTGAGATTGCCTGTGTAGAACCTTCCTACCTTCCTTCCTCTCCCTCAGTGCCTGGCCTAAGGACAGGAAGACGCCACTAGATGAGCCCTGGCCATGTGGCGACATTACCCTTTATGGCAGGATGTTGCTTAATCCTCACAGCACACATGTGAGCCAGGTTATCAGCAGTCACTCTACTGATGAAGATAGCTCAGAGAAGTAAAATCACTTGTCCAAGGCCAGACAGCTGGGAAGGGATGAAGAGATTTGAACCCTTCTCTTCTTTGGAGGAAGTTCCTTAGCACCAGATACATATACTCTGGCACAAGGCTGGTTAGCTTACCACACCTGCTACTTTGTGCCTTCTTTGGTACAGTCGAGGCTGGTTTTGTATTTGTAGTGAGTACTCTGTGTGTGTGTGTGTGTGTGTGTGTGTGTGTGTGTGTATCTATGAATCCATGTTCACGCAGCCTTTGCCACCACTGTGAAGTCTGCAGAGGGTAGTTTTTTTTGACTTCTATCCTTTCTGAGGGAAAAAAAGCAAGTAAGTGATCTTTAAACCCTACTGGGAGTGCTTTTAGCTATGTGAAGCCTCAGCATTTAGAAAAAATTTTAGGCTCTTACCTATGCCTGACATCGAAATGAATTCTGACTTAGTAAGTCAGAATGAGTAAATATTAAAAGGAAATCTGAATCACTGAACAACTAGATAAAGGTAAATATTTGCTAGGTTTGTGTCTGAATGATGTCTGCCCTTCTAAGCTTGACAGTAACTGAAGAAGTCCTATTTGAAAAATGCTTATCACATTTGATTTCATAAAAATGTAAAGGTTATATAAAATCCAGAAATTCTAAATGTCAAAGAAAAAGACACATATAAGATTTACCACAAATATGGGAAAGGCTAATCTTAAGATTCACTTACTTATTTAGGTGCTGGTGATCAATCCCAGGGCTTGGCATGTGCTAAATACATGCTCAAGAACTCAACTACACACCTAACCCTTGTTGTTTTTGAAAAACTGTATCTGCTTATAATTATGCGGTACACAACAATATTATGGTATCTGCACTCCTCAAGATTTAAAAAGTTTCTACAAATCAATAATAGTAAAAAGTGTTTTGCTGAAGACCAACAGAAAAATGAGCAAAGAAATCTCCCCCTTCCAATTGTGATTATTTTGGAGTCAAGGTGCCAAGCCAACTGGCACCTTTCCTAGCTTGAGAAGGGTCCATCAGAACTCAAAGCCACTCACAGGAACCCATAGGAGGAAATGGGTGTGCCTCTGTCTGGCTTTTTGGCCTAGGTGGTAGTTGTGACAAGGTCTGAGGAATGCAGATGTTTGGATGAGCTGACCTTGTCCACATGGGTCTCTGCCCAGAGACTTGGTGGGAGGGGGACCCACCTGGAGGCCCCAGAGAATCCCAGTTCCTCCTTAGCCTTTGAGGAAGGACTATGGTAGGACATGTACTCTGGTACCCAACTCTGCTCAGATACTTAAAACAACCAAGCAGACCAGTTATTCTCTCTGTTACTGCTTCATAGAAGATTGTAAAACTCAAGCATCTTGGCCCTGACATTAAGAGGGAAAGCTGAGAAGATTCTGTATCTATGTATTAAGCAATGCACATGTTACATGTTACATGTATGTCTCGCCACACACCTGCACAGTACATATTCCCATGATGGATATGTGACTACTCCAAAATCTGAAATCTGAAACATTTCAGATAAGGGACTCTCAACCTGTAGCTCCTAAGCACAACTAGCTCTGTGGCCGAGGCACTGTGGAGAATCTGCGGCACAGTCCCTGCCTCCCAGGCTTACAGTTTCCCCAGTGCCAACACCTCTGTGCTGGGAGTCAGTACAGAGCGTTACGTGACCAGGGCCCTTAGACAGGCAGTCATCTGTCAGACTGCCTAGAGCTTACCACTTGCACCGACTGTGAAGGCCACATGCAGTGAGACCTTCCAGAGCTCAATCAATAAAACCAGGCTTCATGGGTACTTTGCTTGACTCTGCCCCTCCTAGGGCTGGCTGGTCCTGCAGCCAGAAGGTGAGGACAGACCTGGGGAGGTTCAAACACCAACTTACTCTTTGGGGGGATTCAGGTCCTCGGGTCTTGTCTCAAAGAACTGCAGCACCTCCTCACACTGAGAGATATAGGGGGGCAGCTGGATCAGGGCCTAGAGAAGAGAGGCAGACACAGGTGAGTCTAAGGGAAAGAGTATGAAAAGTGCTATCAACTAGTGATTCTTGACCATGGGCAGGCATCAGAATTACCCAGAGAGGGAAGAGAAGCCATGCCCCGTGGTGAGCCTGCCCCATCTGGGAAGCACTGGTGAGCCACCTCGGGAACCTTGGATTGGAGGAACCCTGGTGCCTAGCCCAATATCCTGCACCGCGGGATGGACAGGAAGCAATTTGGCTGATTAGGAGAAATACGGGAAAATGTCAACATGAAGGAACAAGATGCAATCTCAGACCTCAAGCCCACCCAGAACAAGTCTAGGAGACATAGACACACAACACCTGAAATTTCTGAAATGACAGCAAATGAAGTAAAGAAACAACTTAGTGTTTTCATTGTTTAATTTTGCATGCCTATATCTCACCCAGAGCAAGTCCAGGAGACCCAGATGTAGAGAAAATCAGAAGCCACATACCTAAAATTTCTGAAATGATAGCAACTAAAGAAACAACTTAGGGCTCACATTGTTTGATTAACTTTACATACCTACATCTATAGTCCGAGCAAGTATTCAGAGGATAACAATGTACAATATACTAACTACTGTTGATTTCCTACTGTTTTGTTTTTGAAAACCAAGAGTGTTCTCATTGTTTTGCTTTGTTTTACTGTTTCATTCTCTCTTTTTTTTTTTTTTTAATTACCCAGAGGGCTTCTTACAATTCGGACTGTGGGGCCTTGTCCCAGAGTTTCTGATTCAGTGGATTTGTGGTGAGGCCCGAGAATATTCCCTGGTGATGCTGTTATTAGTTTGGGGAACACACACACACACACACACACACACACACACACACACAGAATAGATGCATATACATACACATATAAATTACAGGCATATTTGTGCAAATTATATGTATTTACACAAAATCAGACCATGCTATTTTGCTAACAATAAATTGCAAAATTCATAACTTTCATCATACTGGCTATTGGTTGCTTGTTGTATAGATATTATGTATTTTAGTCAAGTAGTTACCCATAGGTGGATGTTTAGATTATTTCCAACATGTGTGCATAAATGACCTAACTCTTTGATCTGGAACATTAAAGTGGAAAAACAGTTTTATGCCTTGAATAGAGGTTGGGTAGAGGTCTCCAGATTAACAACACGCTGGGTCTCCACAGGCCAATTCCATGCTATCTGCCACAGTAATTTATCAGATGGCCCATGATGGCACCTCAACTATAACTGCCAACAGGCTGGATGAGGCAGACAGAGGGCAGGAAGTGGGACTAGCGTTGGTTGTTCTGGTTTATCGCCAGCAGATATTTATTCAACGATTTGATGGTAATTTTCTTTTTGCCCAGCACTGCACTGGTTTTTGCATAAAATACAAGAGAAACATAGGGTACAGCTTGCTCAATTAAAGGATCTGAAACTAAGATGTGGCTCTGTCTTCAACATACAGCTCAGTTTAATGAGGTCCTGGGTGGGGAAGATGGGGACACACATCCTAGTGTGGCAGAGCTGGTACCCACACACGTCTAATTACAAACATCTGTGCAGAGGAACTGTGCGAACACATGCATGATGTTTCAAAGAGCACAGGTGGCACCATCAGTGCAGGCTCTGCAGTGAGACAGGGCTTTATCCTCTCCTAGAAGGCCTCATTTATGGTGCTCTGTATGACTTTCTTCTTGCCACGCTGGGCAGGAGTCTCAATGGAAGAGATATGTCTGTATTTTCTAAGAGCCCTTAAAAGCTCATCATTCCCACTCCCACTCCCAAATTGATGTGTCAGTCCTTCAGGAGTACCTGGCTTAGATGGACCAACAGGAAGGAGTGAATGGAAGTTTCCAGTGTGGCACCTTGTATAGGGTTTGAGGGGTACTTTGACCCTACATGATTGTTCCCCCAATTTAAAAATGTTTTAAGTGTGATAAAATATACAGTAAGGGCCGAGGATTTAGCTTAGTGGCATAAGCACCTGCCTGGCAGGTGTGAGGTCGTGAGTTCAATCCCTGGAATCCCCCCAAATACACAAAGTATTAAATTGGTCATCTTAACCATTTTCAAGAGTGCAGTTCAGTCGCATTAATATATTGGATGTGGTGCTACCATTACCACCATCCATCCCCAGAACACTTTCCATGTTGCAAACCAGATACTCCAACCACTACACAGTAACTCTCTTTCCTTCCAAGCCCTCGGCACTCTATTTCCAGTGAATTTTCTGTTGTAGATATTTTACATATGAGGAAACATAGTATTTGTCCTTTTATGTCTGGCTGATTTCTTTCAGCATTCAAGGGTTATGTACATTGTAGCATGTGTCAAAACTTCTTCTCTTAAGCTGAATAATATCCCATTGCGTGTACAGAACATTCACCAACCAGTGGACATTAGGGGATTGCTAACCATATATGATTTCTGAATCTGACTCTAATTTTAAGCTAGATCCCCCACAGTGTGATCTGCTTCAGACTTAAAGTGAAAAGACACAATGTGAGGTGGATGATTCTAAGGGGCAACTTCCCTGGTCACTGCTCACTCTTCTATCCTTTTAGGGTGAAGAATGTAGACCTAAAGGGGCTTTATTAGCCATGGAGTGGCCCCTACTCTGCAGCTGGTTCCTACAGACTGTCCTTTTCCAGGCTTGAGACCATGAGTCCCAGAGCAGGAACTTTCTTCATACTCATTTCTGACTCTTCTCTTTCTAATTCTGTATAGAAGCAATCATTCTCCTGCCTTGGGTCTCTTTTTCTTCTCATGGCTGCAACCATATAACGAAGGAGCAGATTAGATACTGTGTGGTGGTGTATCCTGCTTGCTTGGTGTGCACATGTCTAAGTCCCCTACCACCACCACTGCAATAACAATGCTGTTTGCGGTTGGCTCAGCACTTGATGGCTCCCGAAATGCTTGATCTGTCACTTTACATAACCCAGGTGAGCTAGCTATCTTCCCATGTTAGAGACATGGTGACATGGATTTGAGGGCCTAGGACTGTCCAACTGCAATCCACAGAAGATAAGTATAGGGTGGCTGCTACTCCCTACCTTCCCTAATACCTCAACAGTGCTGGGAAAACTGTGCTATCAGGTGGAAAGTGTTAGCTGGATAAATGACATGAGGAAAGGTCCTGTGAAAGGAGATCTGGGTGAGTCACATGAGACCCTCAAGGTCATCATCTTGGGCTGAATGGGCCTTTCCAAATGCTCCCTGCTAAGAAGGGCAGAGGCCTCAACCAGACTAGTGAGGAAAGGGGCAGTGAACCCATGGAAACCTCCCAGCAATGCCACATTCTCTGGTTTTGAGCTGTTCCTAGGAAGTAAAAGCCAAACCATATGATAAGCCAAGTTACTAATAAAAGGCAGTGCCATGTGCTTTGGTGCTGCCCTGTCATTTAGGACGAGATAACGGTAAAACATGACTTGAGGCCAAAGAGGACTTCTTCCAAAATACTCTAGATAGTCTTGGGTTTAGGCAGTAGTGATAAAGTAACACAACTCCAGGGAACTCAGGTCTGCTCAGGAAGGAATCTTGGCCCTTTTTATAGATGTGGCCAGTCCATGCAGGGATGAGAGGAGAGCAAGTCCTACTCGATGAGGGTAATGAAAAAATAGCAGATAGAACCAGGTTCTGATTCTGGCTCTGCCACTTCTGAGCCATGTGAATCTGGCCAAGTCCTACTACTTCGCTGAGCCTCAGCCTGCTCATCTGTAAAACGTAGACAAATAGTAACCATCTCGGGAGCTGTGCTTCAGAATAAGCAAGGAAATGGCTGTATGGTTTCCACTGCATACTGCCTGCTTGACAGGCATCAATCAACTCGAGCTCTTTGTACAATAATACAGTGCTTCTCAAAGGCAATTTCACAGGCAGTGAGATGATTCTGTTAAATAATAGTGCATGGGCCAAGAAGAAAGCATGTCTTTCTCAGTTCTCTGTTAATGATCTTTAACTCCAAAAATAATGTCCAGGGAGGAGCTTGTCCAGCGTGCTTCCTGAGGATGGGATCAGCCTCTGCACAGCCTGTGGTAGTCATGCAATAGCAGCCTGGTAGATTTTAAAGACATTTTTTTGGTTGTAATTTGTTTTTTTTTTCTTTTTTGGTACATGACACGTATTTTAATTAATTAATTTTAGTGCCAGGGGCAAACTCATGACCTCAAATTTACCAGGCAAGCACTTGAACCACTGAGCTAAGTTCTTGGCCCCCATGACACTTATTTTATACTATGGTTGTGACACAAAGTTTTCTATAAAATATTTTTTTGTGGTGCTGCTGGGCACTGAATTCTGGGTCCTGTACATGTTAATTAAGCTCTACCAGTAAGGTAAACTCTCAGCCCTAAAACACATCATCTAGAAAAATTTAAATATGAAAAGTAAGTTAATTTAAGGAAATGTATTAGTAATAGTATGTGACAAAAATCTAGAAGGAAGGTCTTATGTGTCTGGAGTCTGGTAAATGCTGCCACACTGCCCATAGTTTTCTTTAAAATACTGTACCACAGCATGGACTATGCCTCCAACATGCGCATGTCCGATTTAAGCTACACCCCAATGATAGTAAGTTCCTCCTTTGGAGACCAAGTACTTTAGCAAACAGACTCTGCTATTGGCTGCAGATGGTTTGTCCCCTCCAAAACACACATGGAAATGTAGTATCATTGAGACAATACTGGGATGTGAGCTTATCTAAGTCAAGGGGGCAGAACTCTCATGAAAAGATTAATGCTTTATTTTTTTTCAGTGACTTTGCTTGAAGGTCTGAATTAGCTAGTACGAGAGTGGGTTGTTTTAAAGTGAGGCTGCCTGTCATGCTCTGACATTTTGGATGCACACACTTGATCTGCTCTCTACCATGAGCTGAAGCAGCACGAGCCCTTCACTGGCACCATCTCTGACCTCCCAGCCACCAGACCCAAAGTAAACTCTTTTCTGTTACACATCACAGTTTATCTAGTCTCAGGTATTCTGTTATAGCC